TAGAAGCGGAAAAGAGGAAGGCTGAAGAAAACACTACGTCGGTAAATGGTATCAGATATGAAAAGGACGAATAACAAATGAAAACAACCGGAAAGGATTGCCGAGGATAGGGTCGGATGTAGAATGCTGATGGGTGGTCTAAACTCCACGAAGGGGCGTAGCAGATGTAAGTAAGTGAGCAAACTGAGTGATATATAGTCTCTTCATAGGTAAAGAAATTACATGTACAAGAATTTTATCAATTTTTTCTTGTCAAAGTGATCAGCACAACGAAACAAATTACGTTTTATTTTTACGTAGTTACTAAGACAATGGATTCCACTTTTTTCTCAATGTCTATTGATATCCCGTTGTATCATATGGTGCCCGGATAGAGTTGATATAACCCACTTTTTCTTTAACTACAGTTTTATATTACACGACAATGAGACTGTCCTACAGTATTTTATCATTTAAATTAAGCTCAAAAATATGAATGCAGATTTCGATATCCATTCAAAGTACATTATAGTACATGGATTTCAATTAGTCACAAGGGTCGCTCAATATCGTGGATTGGTTGAAGTGGGACATAAACATCTTTGGATACTGACCTAGTGGTCTAGAGGTCAGGTTTACGCTCTCGAGCGTGATTTCTTAGCTTAAAATTGGGCAAACCGACAAAACCTAACATTAAATTTGCGTTGCTTAGCAAGTGGTGTATGATTTTAAGGTTAAATTTGGGAATAAGACTACATCTCTCTTGCCAATGGCCCTCAAGTTCTAATGTGCCACATAATGTAAGGCAACTGTTATCATAATCATCACCTAATGTCTTTTTTGTGAAGTTGTGGTGCTATTAGTTTCTAAACAAAATATTCTTGAGGCTCAATACATAATTGCTGAAAAGTTCGACATGCAACACAGAAGACTTGGAGGAGGGCGGTGATGGTGAACGTGATAACAAATAAATTGGAGTGGCATATCTCGGTCATGCAGGCGTGTTCACACAACCTCTTGTCTACTGTATCAGATAGATTGCCCTCTTCCCAGCTCAAATGTGTTCTTCAGAAATGCTAGATTATCACGACAGAACGAGCCAGTGTAGACAGCGGTGTGAATTCTACTTCTTCAATTTTGGGACTAGGTCTACCATTATGGTAGTACGAATACCAAAAAAGACCATTATTTTAGAAGTTTCTGCGAATTTATTCCATTTCGACCTGTCACTTATACGAAGGCTAATAAATAAATACGGAAGATATTCAAACACTGGGGAGACACAGACAGTATATAGTATCAGTCTAAACTCACGCTCCTGAGAATTGAGGATTGTGCAACACATAAGCTCTCATGTCATCGGGATGATTGACATTGCTTGTTCTGAAATTTTAGTTCATTCAAGTATCATAAGCTAATCTCAAAAATAGAATAACATTTGGATGCAACCATACCATTCGCCTGAAAATGAAGTCTGAGGTTGCTGCATCCGGCACTATTCCTGTCGCGTTTGTTAATAGTAAACTGAAGTTGGTACTGAAGGCAGAGATGGATAGTGACTACCAGTGGAATTCACGACGCGCGTTTCGTCCCATTTGGAACTCGTCAAATAGATGTACTTGCATCTGTGTTGTTGCTCACTCTGAGGCTCAAACGACACTTAGCTACTGAGTCCGCCTGTTTGTGCATTGGGATGAAATTTAGATTCACTTGGTATTGTTTACTTGAATCTTCCAAGTGATGTTTAGGACTGTAACTGAACAGTACCTTTTTGGTATATGTGCATACTGTGCGTGTTGCCTCGATATGTATCGGTCAAAATCATCTGCTGTAGTTGATACATTAGATCAATCTGTTTGATTTTCTATGGCTTTGCACTTACACAAGTCAGGAGTGGGAGATTTTCTTTCACTTAATTACACAAGGCCTAAAGTTTAGAAACTATGTAACGCTTTATGAATTATTTTTTGTTTGAGTCATTGAATCCACTCATACAAGTGATTACAAGGCTTTGTGACACTTGGTAATGTGGGAAGGAGCCCCATCGGCTTAGAGCGGGTAAAGTCGTCTTATTTTTTCCGTAGAAAATCTTGTAGATCATACCAGATGATCACCCACCTCCTAGCTACTTAGAAGCTAATGGGTGCTGAAATAAATCCATGATTGGGTGATTAGGATTAGCTGAACTTCACACCAAGATTTCAGGACACAATAAAAGCTCTGGCAGCTTTGGGATGGTGGTTGTTCCGTCTTGAGGCCAAGTAACAACAAATGTTCCATTGTTTGAGTTTTTCACTGTAGACTGATAACTGTTTTCACGATATGACCATAATGTTTGGTAGGGAGTGTTTTAAAATACCTTAGATTCATTTCCACTCCTAAACAATACTTACTTCTTGGTATTATATGATGTGATCGAATTCCTCTAATGAGTTCCATCTGGTTTCGCAGGTTTAATATATTCTTGAAGATCCAAGTGATCGTTTGTCCATCGAGGATACGGACTAAGACTTTACATTAAAGAGCGTCCTCTGGTGGCTTCATAGAGAATGCTCCAGACGCTGTTCAGTAACAGTTTTCTTTGCTCAGGGAGCCATGGAGCATAATCTGTAATACTAGCTTGGATTGTCTAGTGCTTGCGATCTTACCCTACTATGATCAGACGGCGATGTTACTGAAATTAATATCTCTCTTAACTCTATAAGCATGGTGTTAGTGAGCATTTTGGGACTGAAGTGACTGTCGATGTAAATAGCCACATCTCTCGGTCCACTGGATTTACCGACTTCGCTAAGACTTTAGTTCCAAGCCCTCTTCCTTACCGGTGAGAATGTCTAACGACCGCATGTTTATCTAGGGTAGAAAATGAGCTTCTTTCCTAATTGATATTGTGCAGGTGTTTTTTTGTCGGACGATGAGTGAAATCTGTGTTGCGCTGCACTAAACACGCTTCATTCACTTTTCAGCATCTAAAGAATATTTATACAACACGAGTCAGCTGATTTATCAATTTTACTATATATCAAGCTGGCTAAGTAAATTGATGATGTTTATTGTTATTTGTCGTAGAAACAAACAAACAAACAAACAAACAAACAAACGTTTCATTTTCTTCATATCGCCTTCCTCTGAACTGCTTATCGAAATTCTTAGTAGTTCCCAGCCCACATAAGGCTATTCCTCGTCACATCACATGTCTACGCCCAATGTGCAAATAAACTTACGCTCCTGATTTCACTGATCTGTGCAGTATCATAGAACGTATCATAATTAACCAGTCGACTGATGTGTAAATGAAAGCTGTTGGTTCAAGTGTAGTTCTGAGACAAACACGTTAATCACAATTGATTGATCATAGGGTGGTGATCAATGTCATGCTTGTCTAGTCCTTTTTAGTGCAGATCGAATGCTATCGAACACGTTAATTTTTACTCACGAATCATAGGCCTCCAACCAACTGTAAAATCTTTCAGGATGTGTGCAGCCTATTTTCCAGACAACTCACACAAGAAAATAACAAGGACTGTTGGGAGTACGGTAAAACCAGTAAGGGGTTTTACAAATTCAGTTAGCTTGCTTTGACTCATAACAGATATACTGATTTTTCTATTCATTAATTATGTGACAGACATTGGTTCTAGAAACCCTACTGCTTTATGATGAAAGATTACGAGGTATCGATCAACAAAAAACTGCCAGACAGTCCAGAACTAATGCAATCAAATGATCAGACCGTATTTTATCGATTATCATCGGAGACTGGACGCTGTAGCAAAATAATGAAATGAGTGCAAATAAATCAATTACTTTTAAAAAGCTCATTACAAGCGCATTTTTGACCAGTTTGACGGAAGAACTTTCTACACAATCTTCAACAGTTTTATTCGTCTCCATTTAGAGTATGGAAACCTAGTATTTCCTCCCTCACTCGAAAAGGATAAGGATACTCTGAGGCGTATCCAACGGCGAGCCACGAAATCAGATCGGGGACTCAAATTCAAACCTTATGCCTCCAATCACTTAACCTTTACCCATTAGAGTATAGGCGTCTTAGAGGTGACCTTCTGATGGCTTATAGTATCCTTAACACTTCTGGATATCCCCTTAAACACCTACTTAAGCTCAGTCCCAATAAAAACCTGAGGGGTAACACCCAGAAATCGGAGATACAACAGAGCAGAACGGACTGTAGACACAACTTCTACTCCTTAAGATTTGCCAAATGCTGCAATTCGGTGCCGATTGAACTAGTCCAAGCGACTTCCTAGGAGTCCTTTAGGAGGAAACTAGACCTATTCTTAAGGACCAAGGATAACATCTTATTATGAGTTACAAACTTGTGGTGGTCGGCATTCGATATAATCCTTAAACTTCGTATACAGCTCGTCTTGATAACCGTTCTATATAACGTCCCAACGGTTTATTAATCAGAAGGCAAATACGAAGTGTTGATTACGTTTATTACGAGACCACACACATATATCCAAATGTACAGATGCGTTAAACAAGCATAGAAGAGTTGTGCCGAAAGGCAAGCAAGCGAGCGGGAGCCATAGCAAGAGCGGGACGAGAGTGTGTGAGTGAGTGAGTATGAATAACATGGACATATATAAAGCATGTTAAATGAATGAGTAATCGAATCAAATAATCAGTTAGTAGTAAGACTAGCAGAGTGAATAAATGCGTAGGCCGTAAGCAATATTCAAGCATACGTACTTCATACAAGCACAAAATAATAAGGGTACAATAAGTTGTTATAATGCGGATAAATTTGTCCGCTAAATGAGTTAGCAAAAGGGCTTAACTGCGTTAGATGAGACTAAAATCATTTGCACGTGAGTCGCTATAGATTTCCTTTTTTTAATCTATTATAGTTGACACACACAGGTTCCTGCCTGGAGGTATTGGTGATCCCCTGCTATTAGACACGGAGGCCTGTTAAGCGAAAGCTTCTTCTATTCCGTCCACAACCATTTGAACCATTTGAACGATATTGGATAGCGGTTACAACCTTGACCAGCAATTCAAATGGGTGCGCTGTATCAATTTTTACCTTGTTCTTGTCTCATCAGTTTCTCCCAGACGTGAGACGAAATCCTCAATATTATAACGTTTACTTTTCATAAAATATGTGAAACATTGATGTATCTATAAAATGATAAATGTCTAAGAATCTGGGTCCAGACGATATTCATATACGCTTGTATACGTATTACGGCAGATGTAAATTTTATGTACGAATTTTCAAAATCTACGCGAAAAAATAAATATTTAACCGCATCTGGTGTTAGGTTGTAATGAAAAGCCGAATTATCGATAAGTAGACGTCAGTCCATGCCGAAAACCTTCGTAAATTTGGATGTATGTTACTTTATTATTCTAAATTGTTTCAAAGGTCAACACATTTCCAGTTAGCTTTGGGGTTTCTCAAGGCCACCTGAATGCTTTGCTTCCACTTAAATGGTGAAAGCTGCCCCTGGTTGTCATTTAGTGATAAAACCGTTGTAAAAATTTATCAGTTTTCAAGTTGACAGACAGGATAATTATCAACTCTGTTGTAACAAGATACATCCAAGCTTATTTTCCTCAACAGAGCAGCTAATTTTCGCTTGCGTGTATTTGTGTACTCATTGGCTCACATAGTTGGCGCATAAACGTCTGAAAATCATTGCTAAGGTGGGTTAATTCGGGATACTGTCTTTAGATCCTAGAAACTCGTACAATACTCTAGTTTGGTCACTAAAATCACTTTCATTACCTTAATAGTCATAGTCCAATAACTGACACTAAAAGTAATCATATGTTTGCTACTTAGAGTTAGTCTGACGAATCAACTGGACGAATCTTAGTTCCCAACTCTAGATCCTAACCCTAGTTCCTCATATCAATATATAACCCTCTTTTAGCCCTAGCACGTAGGTGAGCTGTCATTTTAGCGTCGTACGTAAATTACAGTCTCATCGTGTAAATGAGGCAACATATTATTGTTTCTTTGACTGAATAATATAGCAATCAATTATGGTTACCCGTCAATCTTGACAAACTGCACGTCATTTCCGGTTATTGGTTCTGTAAAATGTTCTACTCATTGACATGTATTAAGTGTTTTGAGTTAAAAAGTATCTTGTCTAATGTTTGTTAAAAATATGCAACGTCTTCCTATGACTCAAGCATTTCTCTTCAATGTTGTTTTGTGACCAACGTATATCCATGATTAAAAAACGAAACTGTCTCTCGATGATTGTCTATTATAGCTGTTGTGCTTTTCAAGAATAAAAAAACACGATAGTCTTCATTTGTGTGAATGTTTTTTCTTTTGTTTGTAGTGTTCGCTAGCAAGAAACTATGATGGATTTTACTGGCATTTCTTAAAAGATTGGGAACTTTAACTTTTTCAATGAATTTATCATTAATTTTAATAACCTTCTTAGCATGCGTGCTTACTCTTGGATTTTCGATGCCGTCTTATGAATATGTGTCTTCTGTTGTGGAAACAGGTAACTGAACACTTTTTGAAAATAATTTTTTCATGTTTTCTTGGTCAGGTGAGCTTAGCAGTCAATAGGTCCATTTTTAGCAACGTGGCTTTCTATTGATTGTTGCCCACATCATCAAGTATACTATACCAAATATCCACTTGATAGCTTTGCTTAAGTGATATCAAGTTTCATATTTTAAGTTCTCGCTTTTCGTGAATTTGTATGAGTTCATTTAGGACTCCAAAACAACTGTTATTTGAATCCTGCTCATATCATTACTAAAATAGTTTATCTGAAGATTACCAGTGGCAGAGGATGGTACTTTAATGCCTCACTCATCTTTCTCGCAATTCACCGTCTATCGCACTAATGATGAGGTGGAGCTTTATGTTTTAGTAAACAAACGTCTTATGTACTTCTAGTTATGGACAGGGCTTTTAATGATTGATGCGACAAAGTTTTCGGGTACCAAATGTTAATAGATAGATAAACGCGGTGATATAACACATGGGCGAGTGATGGCTGCTCACGAGACAGTGTTGTTAGTTTGATACTCCAAATGATTTGAAATCATAGATAATACCACTAGCCATATTACTAGCTTTTCTGGTGCAACAAAGTTCATTTACATAGAAAGCACTAATATAAAAATTAACATGATAAATGCCTTGGGTTGTTGGATGAAATAAGTACGTAGGCCACTTCTTGTTCAGTCAATGGAGACGTAACTACCAAAAGTAATTTGCAAACATTGCATCGTTTACATAAAGTCAGCATGATAAAAAAGTGATTTTTAGAGGCCAATAAAGGTCACTTGAAAATGTCAGTATCAAGTCTACTTTCTATTAATCTTATTTTGCGTTCCCTCGAGTAGCTGTACGTTTTATTGGAATAATACTTTAAGGATTTCGACCTTTCTAGTGTTAGCTTACCGTATCCTGACCAAATCCATATAATTCCCGCATCTATTGGCTTCAGTCATAAAGGTAATTGGCTATTTAGTATTGTTTATGCTAAATTTTCTCTCTTATATTTGCAATAAATTTAAATCGTTGAAAAATTCAAAGGCCTATGATAATAATATTCGCGTTGGCCACCTTGCTTAGAACTATTTTTTCATAGCGATACTTGTTGGAAAAGGCAATCGTGATCACTGAAAATAAAATGATGTAGTTCTTCAGTATTGGACTGTCTCCTAGATTTTTTGTTTATTCAGCGGCTTGATACACAACAACTGTAGCTTGAAAGCCATCATAACCAGTTCGGTGCTGTAGAGTTGATGTGTTCGACTTCCAGTCATTGAGTCTCGGATATTTACAAAATAGGTGACGTCATATGCTCTCAGTATCATTCATTAACATGTATTTATTGTAAACATCTTATAATAATCTAAATTGATAAGTTTATGATGATTTATCAAACATTTTTGAAGTTTATTATCGTCGAATGTAATCGTCTATCGAAGATGACTCAGCTTCTATCTTAGTTGATGGTAAAGCTGAACTATAAAGGTTGGTTAATGATAAGCATGCGAATCACATTAGTCACGTGGCATATGTAAAAAACAGCATATCGTCTGCCTATAATAAAGTAGATCTCGCGAAATAATTATTATTCATTTATTACACTATGAATAATTTGACACAGAAAAATATCTTAATTTGTTTGTAGAATCAGATACTTCAGCCTAGGCTTAGAGCTAATATTTGGGCTTCATAATTAAAATCTGGAGTTGAGAATTTATGACTGCGTTTAGGATTCGAGTTTAAGATTTAAGGATTGGTATTATGTTTTACGGCTAATCTACCTGTACCCTGAATCGTAACCCCAACCTTGAAACGTAAACCTGGCATCTTAATTCTAACTTTAGATACTGGACTCCACATTCCAATTACTAAACTGTATATCTTAGTCTTAATTCTAATCTCAATTCTTAAACTCTGCGTCTTAATTTTTCTGTCCAACACCTAAATCCTGTCTTGAACCAACATACTAAATTTGAATCTCAATCCTAACACTAAATTATCCACTCATACTTGCTGCATTCCAATTGGCTGAATGCGTTAGGGGTTTTTCCTGGTCATTCTAAGTCACTGGAGCTCACCCTTATAGTTTAGATTTACCCATTTAATACCGACATAAGTGACTACATATATAACATATTTACGTATTAGTATTATGGTTGAAAAACTTTTGTCATTACTTGGATCATGAGCATAACACAGTACTTAGAATTTTCTATACGAATATATTTTGGAACAAATTCGAGTCTTATTCACTTTTCTTATAATAAATAAACAGTGTGTTTAATATATTCATTATTTTTACTTGTTCTAGAATTCATCATCAGTTATTATGAACATTCCTGTGCACAATCTCGTCATCGTTTTCTGAAATCCATACTCAATTCGTTCCCATTGAATTATTCCATAATGGAGAGATGGTATCCACCATCTAATGCGATAGAGAAAAAAAGTGATTTTGATGTAATCAAGGTAAAATGCCTAATTAATTATGTGAATTGATTTGCGTTTTGTAATTATGCTTAAGTTCCTCCCTACCCATGGAACAAACAGTATTGTAGGTCTACTTCAAGTGCTTTTATTTTCAAATCACACAATCAATCGAAACCATACCCTAACCGGTAGATAACTGTAACAGTTGATATTCTTACTTCTGATGAAGATCCCTCATTTTTATTCTGTAAAACATTTAAAAAAATCAAAAAAAGTTATTAAATGCATGTATCCTATTTAATATTACGTGTTGATGAGGATCAGGAATTGATCCTTAAAAACTGTGTGAACATTTTTATTTTCCGACTACATAAAGCGGTAACTCAGTATTTAAGGTTGTGAAATTTTAGTCAGTAAGCCTTAAGTTCGAACTCTACCTTGTCTACACTAATTTTGGTAACTGCATAGTATAACTAGTCTTACCTGATTCAAAGTATATTAATCTACAGTTGGTAAGCGAGTTTTCTGACTTAGTAGCTCCAGTTTGTGTATAACAGGTAATAAATTACTTTAAGCCATAAAGAATTGGGTATAAAAGTTATCTATTTTAATTTAACATCAATTTTATACAGTCCAACTTGACCCCTTACATAGATTGAAGTTTTTAGCTCTTTGATTAATACTATACACAACCTTACTTAATTTTTTGTCATCTTGAGTTAAAATCATATGGTATTTGCTTAATGTCAGCTTCATTGTACATTTTACTTTCTTTAATCTCTTAAATATCTACTTATCTCATTCTCCAGGTACTTGGATATGGTTCACAATCTAAGTGTGAGTGTTAATGATACTAGTCGGTTAGCCGAACTTAAGTATGTGGAGCGGAGCTCAAACTCAAGACTTAGTAGCTATAAGTTGGACGCCTTAACCACTAAGCCACCGCTAAATAAACAATCTTTTACTCATGCACACGTTTTTACTTCACATTAACTGCGAACGCTTGTGATGCCAATCGGTTGTGTAGAATAAATTAATGCGATACATTATCTTGATCCATCGAATAGTTGGATTATTGATTAGCATTGAAACTCAAACCCAACAACTTTCACTTCAAGTGGCAAAGTATTATTCACTTAATTACCGAGTTCAAAAAGCTGCTGACTTGTTCAACAAGTATAATGTTTTTGTCATTATTAGTAATAATGATACAATTCATACTATTAATTCTGGGTTTTATATTGATAAAGATAACATAACAAATGATTTCGTATTATTTATCTACCGTCATTGTTCCTGCTTTATTTGAATTATCTAATAAAATATCTGTCCAAATGGTGTTCACACTTAGTATAGTATAGGTTACACAAATTACCTTTATACTGTAAAGATTAATAAGTATAACTAGCTCGTTATCATGTCATTCAGTATTTCTGCTGAAGTTTAAAGCTCAATTTTTATATTCTAAATAATCTGAGATTATTTTATTAATTCTAGACATTAAATCTCAGTCGTATGAATGTGTCAAATTTTATCCAATACTTATCTAATATCAGTCAAATAAAATCGGTTTCACCACAAAAACAAATAAATCGTGTTCTTCTAAACTATGATATAAATGGTGAGGAGTTTTCGCAAAATAGTAAGTTAATGGTATATATTTTTACTTGTGATTTGTTTGTTAACAGAATCGGATCATGAAATGTATGTAGAAGTTGACGATAGGTCTGGATCCCCCCATAGAACTGAAGGTAGTAAGAGTCCGATCTCTTACTGTGATGATCTCAAATGAACATACGTTTCTAGCCTTCGCTAGGGAAGTCTTACTCACTACCCTTACGCGAGGGTGCATGTTTTTTACGAAAGGAGTAGGACGAGAAGCGAACTTCTGGCCCTTATACCGGATTAATGGATACTAAAACTTAAAGAAGTTTGGAAACACTGATTCTAAATCAATAGCGTACATGAGTTTCTGGAGCTTAAGCGAATAAATAATATATTAACCTATTTCACTCATCGACTACCATGGGATGATTTCTTTTGACGTTACTCTCCTGCTTCATGGACTTTAGCTCTATATTAAAGGCTCCGTGAATAAATGGGCCCTTAAGAATATCTCTTTATTTAGTTTGGACTTTCGAGCACTATCTAACTCCACACGCACAAATTCCATAGTAATTATTACTATTGAAGGATGATTAAGTGTTCATTGTGTGACTTGAAGTTATTGGGTTAGATATTTCTAGTGGAGATCATTGATGTGCATTGTTGGGGTGTCACATGCTTTTAGGACAAAACAGTTATCTTGTGCTTCTTAATTTACACGGAATCAGTTGTATTACAAATACTACTTACTGATTCAGATCTTTTTCCAACAAACAGTTTAAGTGCGAGACTGTGACCGGTCTGTATTGGGTGTGAGACAGTTATTCACCACAGAGAACTGGTGAAGGGTTGTACGAGATCATGGATTAATTGAAGTTAGACTTTAGCACTATTGGGTACTGTCTCATTGTTTTACAGTTTAAGTGTTCACGCTCTAAATCAAGGGCTCCGCGTTCGATTCTAACGTAGACGTACGTTTCTGAAGAGTCCCATAATAAAACGAAACGACCATCCAGTGCTTTCAGGTTTTCACTGGGGATCCAGTTAAGATCAGTTTATGATTTAAATGGTTTCAAAAAACATCGTATATGACAAGTTAATCAAAGGCAATCACTAAGAAAGTGAACTTATGAAAATGGTAACCCATCTTTTTGAATCGTTGGGTTCTAAAAATGTTTTTATTGTTACATATACTCTCGTGAATTTTCTTTCTATACCTACTAGAAATGATAACGCAGCTAATATGTATATGCTATAAACAATTGATTGCTTACGCGATATTCCTCTTCCATTTTCAATCTACCAACCAAAACACTAGAAAGGTTAAATAATGTACTTTGTATTATTTTGTCTTAAAAAAAACTACATCATTATTATACATTTATTAGAACAGTACGACGTACAATAAATAACAAGTCTCAAAATCGATACTGAGCTAGGTCATTTGTTGTATATTAAAACTTGGCTAACAGTTATGTCATTAATTAACATCACCGTAATTCATAAACGGTAAAAAAATGTATCAACAGTTCATGAGTTGGATAAAAGCCTACAAAAATAACAGTATTAAAAATACTTCAGTCACTGACAAATGGACTGAGTCATGTTGGTAGGTGTAGACTACCTGGTCGGGGACCGCAAGATGATAGCAACCGATGGTTAGAAACCCTGAATGACATGGCTCAAAATCGTTTGCAATGGAGCAGGTGCATACATTCTTTGTGTTCTCCCAAATTCTAATCTCCTGATTCCTCCTTCTCAAATTTATTTCACTGTATTATACTCCTTGTATAACATCTCCAAACCTTAATCTTTCCGATTACTGCTTAGACTCTTACTTCCTCTACCACTACGGGATTTGAATCGACAACTGCATCTCTGTGCTAATATGGTATGGTGACTCGAACTGATATACGTACTTTCGAAGTTCTATGTTGTTACTGACTGACTTAAATGTTTCTACGTCGAAAGTATGACGTCATCAGATGAAATTTTTCGTAACTAAGTTTTCTGGCATTTCTTTGAGGGTAATTTTCAAAAATTTTCAAAGGAAACCATTCATTATATGCTAACCAATTAGATGATTTCATCGATCGCGTTGTAAATGTTGTGATATCAACGGGAACTAATATCTTATATTATATCTGGGGTCCGTGTGATCAGCCTGTTTATTCTGACGAGCAGTGGTATAATCTGATCTCTCTCTAGTCCAAATGTCGATTATTACACTTAAATTGCCCATGTAAGATCAATGATCTACTGTTAACCTATAGTACAATAATCTCCCCTTGAACACTAATTCAACTATAGTTAAGTCAATACTTAACGTCTGTAGTAGGTCTAGAACTCAGTCCTCTCAAGCTTACTTTCCAGAACAGATCTTAACACAATATATAGACAAATTCTGTTTGTAAAGTTCAATTTCGTATACATTTATATACTGTAAATCATACTTTGTTATTATTATTTGAACACATAAATATTGGTACAAGAGGGCACCAAATATATATGCGCCACACCATATTTGTGTGTGTAGGTGCTGTGAATCTGCCCGGGTGCCCAAACCGAAGCAGGTGGTTTTCTTAGGGAGCCACACCCCGAGCCTTTGACCTAAAGGTCTGATCCACAAGGCAGTGGAGCATCGTAAGAAGATGAAGTCCCATTGAAGCCGGTGACCAACGATTGGTTCATACGCCATTTGTTTCTTTAGGATACTGGAGCCTATGTGTACCACTGGTTTGGGATCCGGTTAAAGCTCCGGACATTCGCTTTTCGTCCTCTCATTTTCGTAAACATCACCCCCGCCACGAGAAGGCAGTGAGTAGGACTTCCCTGGCAGAGGCTGTATACGCGTGGCTGTGTGAGAGCATTTAGAGAGGGAGGGCGGGCCCACCCCACTCTCGGCCATACCAGGGCATTTGGTGGCAAAGTGCCCATAGCACGAGGCCTCGCCGAGACACAAACTGGGGTCGCTGGATTCAGAGTCCAGAGTGCTAACCGCTACACCACATACACAAATAAAAAACATAATATAGACATGAATATCCTAAGAATGAAAGAGAATTCAGTTATGGGTCCATATTTGAATTATAATAACTTGAGTAATTATTTAATGAATCATTCGAAAGCTTACTGCTAGAGGAACTCAAAGACACAACAATTCATGTGTTTAGTGATTAATACAATAAAAATATCAATGATAATTCTTTGTAAGATAATCCTGAAAGTTACAACTTACGCAATATTTGATTTTATTATAGAAGCAATTGACATTATTCATGATTTAAAACAAGACGTTTTTGATAAAAAGGCATTTATAAATAAGTTTGACTGATTGATAGCGTAATCATTCGATGATCAATAAAATCTATCTTCAAAAACATAACAACATTTTAGTGCAAGTTCTTTGATGATATCTACATTATTTGAAGGAATATAGTTTATGTATTAAAATGGTTCAACATTTCCCACTAGAGATATTGAGAAAGTAACAATTTTTTCATCTTTCTACATACAAATGCAAAATACAGAAGGTATAGTTGATTCAAAAGGATAGATGGTAATTTGGTTGTTGAAATTATAAATCCTTATTAATTGAAGTGTGTCATCTTCTGTTCAGAAGAATGGTGTTTACTGGTGTAAAAGTAAGTTACAAGAAAATAAGAATCATACAGAAATGTGTAACATTGATCCATAATGTTATTGTCTGTTGATCTGAGATTTATTCTCAAATATTGACTACGTGGTTTGGATCTCCTCAGGAATTGCTATTAACATTTGGAAATATTTAGTAACATGGTTCAGAATCGGCCATGTCTTCCCGATACTCGAACACTTCAAATGTCAACAGGTTGTCCATTCAGCTAGTGCGTCCGGATAACTACCAGATTGTGCAACGAGAATGAATAATAATTCATTTGTGAGGGATCGAGATGTTCTCTCTGTTGGTCTTAGGGTCTGTATTTGATTAGTATCTATTGGCATTGTGCATCATAATCCTACTGCCCGATATTGCTTTCAATCACAAGAATTTTAGTAAAGTCTTAATGCTATCCTTCTAGGAATTTGCTGTCATTCTTGGAATTTAGTTGATCCACATTTCCGATTTTTCTCCAGCCAAATTTATATCCTTCATTGTTCACGTGCATTGATGTCGGTGATAACATGTCATATCTCGTAGCTCTTAGGGATAGGTTGAATACAACGACAAATGAAGACAACAAAACCTGCGATGACAATTTATCAAAAATCAGTCCATCAAAGTGAAGTGATTTAACACTTGTGATATAACTAAAAGCTCAATTCTACATGTGATAGGCTGTGACGATGTTTTTATGCAAAATGACAATAAAAGTCCTACAAATCAGCATAAAAAATATTCTTATCAGTTAATGAAACGATGATATAGCAGTTGAAGTATTCGGCCTAATAACAAGTTCGTAGGCTTATTTCACCACATGATTCGGTGTGGTAGGGTATCGGAATTACCACCAACACACACACCTACATAATGAACTCAGTAGCTATATAGATGACGCGACTGTGTGTAAAAGGAAACGTTGTGGTTACACATTAACACCATTAGATGCCGGCTCAGTGGTCCAGTAGGTTAAGCGTCCGCGCGCGAGACTGAAAGCCCTGGGTTCGAATTCCGCGAGCGGGATCGTGGATGCCCACTGCTGTCGAGTCCCACAACAGGGCGAAACGGCCGTCCAGTACTTCCAGGTTTTCAATGGTGGTCTAACTTCAATCGGTTCATGATCTCAATCAGAAACTTACCATGTTTGAATCCCGAAGTGGGCATCAACTCTGGGATATGGCAGGCACATCTAGTTGACGAGTCCTGAGTAGGACAAAACGTGCGTCTTGGATACCACTGCTAATCTCAGTCCATCTATTCTATGTATCTCAAAGACACTTGTGTTTAATCAAGAAAACGTCTACCTACATTAAACTTTTCAAATTAGCTTTCTTTTATGTAATCTACTAAAAATAGGATATATATTGTTATTTCCTGGCCTGTGTGCATCGTAATGAAGAAAATGATTTTTGCACAGAATTCAAAAGTAAATACTTGTCTTTTTATATAAAATAAAATGAGCAATAGAAGTATGTTTATGTTATGAGGGAGTCAATTATGCAATTCAGTATTTTCGTTATAATTGTTTGTAGAAGTTACTTAATCTCTATTGATATTGTGAGCTGTATACATGCATTATTCACATGACTAAATTAGTTACATAACTTTATCTATTCAGACTATAGCTTTTATTCACTGATTGGTTTATTGTTTGTGTAAAGTTTTATGATTTACCTTACATCCAATCATACTAGTCTTTGTTTAGTTATAACAAGTAACCAGCTGCACACTTAGTTATAATAAGTAACCATGTCAGTGTGTAGTGAACAAGAACACGAGTGGGGACAATCGAATATATTTGAGTTCAAAATTACAGAGCATCTCAATAAAATCTGAGAACCATATGGTAAATCGTTAATTTGCAAAACATCAATACATCATCTCAAACTTGACTGTTCCTGTTGCAAACATCAATCCATTGTCTTAGATTTCATTGTTCATGTGTTTTCATACCAATTGCATTTCGTTCCCGTTCTTTCCTCATCGACCTTCTACTGAAATACATTCTATGCCTGACCACCGTTATATACTACTTATGTGGATATAAGTAACCTACACCACAAGTGTATTGTTCGAGCTTGCCAAATATTGTTTATTCTAACTTACAGACAGAAGAAAAAAGCCTGTAGAAAACTTCAATAGATTTATTAATTATGTAAAATATATATAATACCCCTTTATCTTTGTTTTCTCACGAACTTCTCATTAACAATAGCCATTTTCTAGTTGGGAAATCGTTGACTAAAATTTGTCATTGTTCTTTTATGAATCACTAAAGCTCATCCTTATGCTATATTTGTATCGGTAGTACAAAATATATTACGTATCTGTGATTTTGTAACGCATTTGTTTCTCAATGTTCAATATACATGCAATATCTAGTATTTTTCTATTCATGCATACTGAACGAATATTACATATAAGGACAGGATATTCACTGAATATTTGATTTCAAGCTTTAACTTTCATTTCATTTGCTTTTACCATTCGACAATTTGAGATGAGCTCCAATGCTATAATGTTATACTGATAGGTCCTGGGTTCGGATCTCACGGGGAACGGGATCGTGGATGCGCACTGCTGTGGAGTCCCATACTAGGACGAAACGGCCGTCCAGTACTTTCAGGTTTTCTATGGTGGTCTAGCTTCAGTTGACTTATGATTTCAACTATTGAAATGTTATATTTATAGATTATATATATAGGTAGATAGCTTTAAAGGATTAAAATGAAGTCCTCTGTGAAAACTACACTCGTATGTAGCGTATTAACTCATGGAATGAACGGAAAAAAAGTTCAAAAATGCTGGGTTTAGTAATTTTATTAAATATTATGAAAGATTGTTTATTTTTTCATCTATAAACTGATTTTATTTTAGAAATTTCTTTTTGTGAACATGCAATCCACTAAAAAACTACATGATATTTCATTATTTTAATTACTTTTTTAGCTAATCGCTTTGATTCAAGACGAAATTTAAAACTGGTAAGTGTGTTTGTTTATCAATGTTGATAATCATTTTGTTTTGATCATTGTATTTAGATATATTATCTATGTGTTCCTGTGAGATATTAGATACAATACATAATTGAATGATGATCATCGGTTTTAATGCACAGTCCTATTTTGACTGTTTGAAATCACATAAATCTCGCTGAATTAGCGAAAATACAAATGCTCACTGTTTTGTAATAATAATAATAATAATAATGACGAGAAGGTTAGGAGTACTTTTAAAAAAAAGGATGGTTGCTCGACAAAAACATACGGTACTAAAATATCTCGAATATTATATCATTTTACAAAGAATAATTAAAAGTGGTTACTCTTAGAATAGATTTATCATTCTTTAAATATCAGTAAGCGGTTGTGGAGATTATTGAACTTCAATGAATTCATGAACCGATCCAAATTAAACCTCAAAGCATTGGATGACCGTTTCACCCCAGTAAGAGGCTCTTCAGCAATGCGCGCCCACAACCTCGCACGCGGTTATAGAACCCCTGATCTTCATGTTCATTATATTGTTGACAAATGGTTTGTTAGAAATTGATAGTTTGTCAATTTGTTATAGGTAATCCACAGGAAACTTTCCTAGATCTATGGTTTGTGCTAGTTAACACTCATAATCATGACATGTTTGTGATCAGAAAGAATAATTTGTTCTCTGGAGGGATCAACTTCATGTTGCCTAGTTTCTCAGGGTGAGGCGTTACCACCGAGCTATTTGAAAGATGACTGGTCTATTTTAGGAGTGAGATATTTTCAATATGACCAAACTCGTCTAATTGACTCGACACTGCAACGCATTAGAATGTTACCATTTATTTTGTATTCAACATAAGTGATCCATTTTGTTAATACTATAGCTTCTTTTTTTCCTGATATACATCAGTTTGGCGATTCACAGAGATATTCTTCTCCTGGAACTTTACCATTAGATCCGTTAAAACAGGTAATCTCTGTTATTATTATTCCTTTAAAAATCTATATCATATGACAATAATAAGAATAATATTAATGATAATAGTTCTTACTTCATAAATTTACAGAATACTATGCGAAAGCGAATTTTATAAGGACTATGTTATGTCATATTGGTGTAATACTTTCCAAATAACAACCTGATCATACACATGTACATACATATTTATGCAAAATTAAGTGTCATACTAGACAAATTGAAATATCTAAGAAACAAGATAAATCACTTCACTCTGGACATTCAGAATCAATATTATCAGTGTATGTTTTTGTGAATACACTGAAAAGCGGAATTTAAACTTACATATGGCAAAAACTTCAAAAAACCTAAGTATTCCCTTCTAGACAACTTTTGTATAAAACCTAAATGGTAGAATTAAGATCGATCTCATATTAAGCCAATATGATATCACATTGTTTTAATAAATCTCGTCTTTTATTATGTCGATCAGTCGTCCTGTTGGAATACTGATATACACACTTCGCATATGCGAGGTTGACTTCCAACTTAAATGAGAAGAATAAGAATTACTAGGAAGTAGTTGTATTGCCGAAACGAATTAAAATATACAGAAAGTGGTTGGTATCTACGCATATATATATATACCGTGGAAAATTGAGTCAACTGTCGATCAACAGCGCGCACCTCGTAGCTTTGAACTAACACATACACAGGCGCATGTTATATCCCAACTGCCCTAACTTGTCATCTTTTAATTAGATTGTTCAATTTAGTACTTTTTTTCAATAAAGTGATTGATACAAGATTCCCATAGAATTCTTCATGTTTGTCCTTGTTTGATTAGCCATGGAAACTGTTACAAGCGGAATATGCGTGGTCTCGCGGTTTGTGCGGTAATGGTGTTCGTGTGGGTATATTCGATACAGGATTGGCATCACCTGATCATAAACACTTTTCATTAAGTAATATTATTGAAAGAACTGATTGGACAGTAGATATAACTAATGTAAGTTGCTGATAGCATTATAAAATGTTCAAAAACAACGTTCAACTAGATAGTTAATGAGTTTATATGCATCAATGCCAATATTCGACTTAATAGTTTCAAATAAATTTATTTGAATCCAACTAGGTACTTAAGTATAGACTCGCCTACTATACTTCGTATGACAGTTTGAAGTGTGGTACCACTTGATTGTTCAAATGAAATTAAGTTGAATAAAGTTTGAACTTGTCTATAAATGTTATTGGTTTTTTGACATTACTAATTCAGAGAATATTTATTGAATAAGTGCACACCTTTAATGGCAAGCATCCAAATTGCGATTTGATAAGTTAATACAAATGTTATATACATTTACAAATTATTATGACTTATTTTTATGACTGGAGGTGCAGATTCAAATTGTACGCTATTCCACATAAATGGTTTAACGTCGATCTGCCTCTAGGATCTTCTACAACCGGTTTAATGCATGTCGCTGCCTAATGTCACTTTTTTTCCATATGGTATAGTGAATCTCTGTAATGAACTGTTGGATTTTCCATTCATTTATAATCTGTCCTTCTGTTAGACCAACAATTAATTTCCATGTGCTCAGATGAATGACGCCAAGAAACTGGATAATAGCTTCTATCTCTGTTTGTTTTAGGAAAATCTTTCATCACGGAACTGCTGACATTCCACAGTACAACTCGAAAAATTGAATCTCAGTAGCTTTTGAGTTTTGTTTTGTTCTCATTACTACTACTTCTCATTAATACTCTGATTTTTTATCATTCTGTACTTCAGATATTGACTACATTCAATGAATACCGGGATATAAGCTAGCGCTACTAACTGACAGATCTTCCATATAACGTTGTTGAATGTGTATTGATTGCTATAGTTTCTGTTGAATACATTGACTCAGATAGAACAATCAATCTTGTTGAACTAGAAAACCAACAGTTAGAATCCCGATTTCTATAAATTAATATTTTTGAGCTAACTAAATGCATGCTCAACCAGCATTCGTAACCTTGAGTCATCTGCTAAGTCCTTATTGGTCCACTATTCTGTAAGGATGTCCTACTCACTGCTTTCTCGCAGCAAGGGCGTTGTTGTTTACGAGATTGAGAAGAAAAAAAGCGAATGTCTGACGCTTTAACTGGGTTGGCGGGTATGGAGGATGGATGACCCTGATTGCAAACCAAAGGTGCACATGGGCTTCAGGATCCCGAGGAGATAAGTGGCGTATTGGTCACTGGCTATCATGGGACCATATTTCCTTACACTGCTTCACTGCCACGTGGACCAAGGCTCGGAGAGTGACCCTAAAATCTAGAATTGCTTCTATACCAGAACAACTTTCTAATCCATATTCAATACCAAAATTGTAATCAAAGCCAGTTTTGTATATAACTTGACATTGTTCATTTTATTTTTCAAAATATTTTGTAAATATCCTTTTATTGTATATTTTAGAGATCCTATTCTGATGATTATATTGAGGCTTTAGATCGACATGGTCATGGAACATATGTCACAGGTTTAATTGCTGCTCAAAATCCTAATGTATACTACTCAAAATTTATTAATTCTTTTAATAAACATGACGATTCTACTTGTCCACCATGGGGATTTGCACCACGTGCAGATTTATTCATATTTCGTGTATTCACTGATACACAAATATCTTATACATCATGGTTTTTAGATGCATTCAATTATGCAATTAGTCGAAAATTGCATGTTATCAATCTTAGTATTGGTGGACCAGATTTTTTAGATAAACCTTTTGTTGACAAGGTTAGTTGTGATTTTTCGTTTTGATACAATAGATTAAGAGTTCTTTTTATCAGTAAAGGGTTGTGGGAATTTTTTGAGTTTTATTGAAATCACGAATCGATCTTATTGGACCACTATCATGTGATCATCATGACCTATGCTCTAATGTGTTGTGTGACATGGTTCAAATTCGTCCACAATGATACAGATCCGTCCACGTTTTTTTTGTCGTTAGATCTTGACTTTTAAATTTCATTTATAATTTCTTTCCTGGAAATTCATTTTTTTCTTATCATATTTTCTACTACCACTGATATGTTTGTGACTGCTAATACTCCGGCATTTGTCTTGACAGTTTCTTGGTGTTGATATAGTGTGTCAACTTGAGCCGATGCACGTGTGTCTGGTTCTACTTTGTTTATGACTGACTAACTACCTAACTGACTGATTGAATGAATATTCGTGTTTAAGCTCGATATATCAGGTATTTGTGTTATATATATATTCTCGGATTTCAAGACAATCACTTTTAACACATAGTCTCTACTGATGTTTGTAACCTAAAGATAGTTATTTACAGGTATTTCGCCAAACAAGAACACTTAAGTCTTGGAACATATAAAAGTATAACAATATTTAACTTCCGTAAAAGACATGATTTCAACGTAACATAATTAAGTACAGCCTATGCTTAAATTTTTTCTTCAGCATTGAAATGTCTTAGTAACCGATAAACTAAAAACAGTATTTCTTGATCATGATGAGTTCCAAATGGGACGAAACTCATATCCACTGCTAACCACTATCCAAAGCATAGCTTTGTTCTTTATTAAAACTCCACTGATTAGTATTTAAGGAGAGAAGATGCAAGCAATCGATTCCTATTGTTTATTAGTTGAATCTTATACAGACCACATTGAATCTAGCTACTTAGTCCAAAGTCACTGGTTTGATTTCCACCGTAATATATGATTTTCTCACCAACTTAAGTTTAGCATTATTTATCATTTAGTAAGTGATAGTCTATCAACCTTGCCTAGGCCTAACACAAATAATAATAACGATAACGATATATATATATATATATTGGATATTTTCGATTAGTAAAGCGTGAAATTCTCATTTTTGGACCTTTAATTGACCCAACGTATCATTTTCTTCTAATATTCACTTTGAACATTATTTCATGCGTTTTCCTAGTTTGTCTACTTATTTGGTTCCATCCAATCAGTGTGGTGTCAAGAGAGATTGGACAACAACTCATCATATCGAAGGTGTATATGTTTCGAAATAATAATTACTCATTGCGAGCTAGTGTCAGTTAGGGAATTATTTATTTATTCACTTGAACACATAAACCTTAGTAATAAGAGCTACAAAATTATGTAAGTATCACTGGGATACTACCTAGTTGCATAAACTGTAATAGGTGGTTTTCTTAGAGAACAACTCCCTGACCCTTCGACCTACAGATCTAATCCACAAGGCAGTGGAGTAAAGTAAAGAGATGTGGTTTCATGACAGCCGGTCACCAACAATAAGTTCATACACCATTTGTCTTTTCAGGATTCTGAGGCCTATATGCACCATTTGTTTGGAATCAGGGTTTTTCAACTCTCCGACATGGATCCTTTGTATCCATCAACACTGTCAAAACGTCGAACATTCGCTTTATTTCTTCTCAATTTCGTTAATAACACCAGCACCCTCGTTGCGAGAAGGCAGTGAGTAGGACTTCACTGACTAAGGGCATAAACAAGGACCTGTTTACTGCGCAACAGTTCGTTCCGTCCTACTTTATGGCAGTGAAACATGGCCGGTAAGAGTAAAGGATATTCGTAGGTTACTAGTATTTGATCATAGGTGTCTTCGAAACATTGCTCGTATATCCTGGGACCATCGAGTAAGTAACGCAGATGTTAGGAAACGGGTACTAGGTAAGGGTGGCAAATCAATTGATGAAGTAGTGAAACTCCATTAGTTGAGATGCCTGGGACACGTGTTACGTATGCCCAATCACCGAATGCCTTGACGTGCGATGTTTAATGGTATTGGAGTAGATTGGAAGAAAGCTAGGGGCAGCCAGACCAAAACATGACACAAGTCCATGAAGTTACTTACAAGTGAACTGAGCCATGTTGGTAGGTGTAGACTACCTGGTTGGGGACCGCGAGATGATAGCAACCGATGGTTAGAGACCCTGAATGACATAGCTCGAAATCGTTCGCAATGGAGCAGGTGCATTCACTCTTTGAGTTCTCCCAAATTCTAATCTCCTGATTTCTTCATGTCCCTTTCTTTTTTCTCTTTCCAAATTTATTTCACTGGATTATACTCTTTAAATAACATCTCCAAACCCTAATCTTCCCGACTACTGCTTATACTCTTACTACCTCTACCACTACGGGATTTGAATCGACAACTGCATCTCTGTGCTAATGTGGTGTGGCAACTCGAACTGATGTATGAATGTACGAAGTTCCACGTTGTTACTGACTGACTGACTGAAGGGCATAAACACATGACCATAGGAGAGCATTTCGAGAGAGAGAGCTAACTCTTCTCACCTGCAATCATGCCAGGGTATTTGGATGCAGTTATTGATTAGCTTATCAAAGATGCCGCATTGCACCTGACTCTCTTAAATGGAAACTCAAATTCAAAGTGCTTGTGTATGTATCTTTCTATCTAAAGCTCATCAGACGAATGCATATCTAAATTCCAGTGTTAATTATCACATGACAACTTAAATCCTGTACTTATTCACTACTGCTAACCACTTTTGGTAATACAAATCAATCATTCACTAATCATAATCATAATCATAATAATAATAATAATAATAATAATAATAATAATAATAATAATAATAATAATATAAATTAAGACATCAGCTTAAATAAATGTTTCATTTCAACACAGATTATATCATTTATATTCACTTCCGAATAGTAATAATAGAGAAAATTACAACTACACTAATAACAGTAAATACCATGACTACTTTTTATTGTTTATCGAAAACACTTGTGGGAAGCACAATATATACATATATTGGATATCATTTTTAACAGATTGTGTAACAGTTGTTCACTTCATGTATGATCTGTGTTATATATATAGTAAGCTTTATCACTTGTTTTGTAGTACCAATGTTAATATAGTTTCTTTGATAGTGATCTATCCCTTACCTCTACTACTATTGCTAATTATCATCATTACAGTATCTTGTTGTAGGTACATATATGTGTATGTACATGTTGATTAGTGTAATTATTTTAACTTATACAAAATGGAATAAACAAAGATGATAGAGGATGTAAACAGTGGCTTTATTAATAAAGGAACTAAATAAATAAATCTGTTGGAATAGTACTAATTATTGTAGGGTAATTGAATGAATTTTGCACTACATCGTAAATTAATTGTAGTTGAATGTGAATAATCGGAGATAGGTTCAGTGAACATAACGATTAGGTGTTTGGCATTAGTGCTAACTATCTTAGGTTCGATCCGTAGTCGAGTTTGTAGGTGAGCATTTCTGAAGAGAATCATACTAGCACGAAACAGTTTTCCAATGTTTCCTAGATTTCAGTGGTTATCTAACTTAGATTAGTCGGTTACGTAAACCATCAAGTTCAAGAATCTTCACAAACCCTGTATACTAATGAGATTAACTCGTTTGAATAATGTATTGTGTAGTAGAATAGAAACATCTAGAGACAAATCAAACACATATTATACGCCAAATTATATCATAATTGTATGTTTGTAATCGAAAGATGCTTCTTATCAAAATATGTTGAGGTTTCTATATATTGATTCTCATTCTAACATAGGAATCAGTGATATTTTTAGTGAAAGAGATATGAAATAAGATGAAATGCTTACATTTCCTACTCATTGTAGTGAACGAAGTCTCTTATTTTAAATGAAGTATTTTATTCATTTGGATTTGTTATTGAATGATTAAGGTTTTAGAATTATCTGCAAATGGCATACTATTAGTTTCTGCTATCGGGAATGATGGCCCTTTATTTGGAACATTAAATAATCCAGCTGATCAAATGGATGTTTTAGGTGTTGGTGGTGTGGATGCTTTGGGTCGTGTTGCAAGATTTTCTTCACGTGGAATGACTGGTTGGGTAAGAAATACAATGTTTTAGTTTGATTTGCTTTGTTATAGATAGTTATCCTATTTTTGTTCAGGGTTCAGGTTGAGTTACTTGGTTTTCAATACATACTTTAGAAATAAATGCACATATCTAGTTAAAATTCTTCATTGCCTACATACATGTATATGGTCTATCGAATAAATACTCTAAGGGACCTACTAAGTTGTTTAGTAAAGTTTAGTGAAATAAACTTTCATGAAATTTGTTAAGTTTTCATGTTCGTTCCCGGGGATAACTCACGTCTCAGTGGAGACGTTGAAGAATACAAAAACGATACAAGGCTAAGATCGTCGTTTATTTCTATAAAGCACGATTAAAGAACGACAAATACCCTGTTAAAACTGACTTCTATAAATGTTTTACATTGTGGAATTGGAGACAAATTTGGTTCATTACCATAAGTGATAAGTATTTTGAAAGTTGTGAGATTGTGAAAATTTGAATCTCACAATGTAATTTTAATGACATCTGTTCGCGTATTCTTTGAGCATTTTGTGTATAATCAGTTTTATTACTCATTAGATTATTTTTATTATTCCTACGTTTATTTATCTCCATTGGATTTTACACTTTTAATCTTGATCAAATTTTAGGAACTTCCAGCTGGTTATGGACGTGTAAAACCGGATATTGTTACTTTTTCCACTGGTGTTATCAGTTCTAATCTAGACGGAAAATGTCGTGTTTTATCAGGAACTAGCGTAGCATCTCCAATTGTAACAGGCGTTGTTAGTTTATTAATTAAGTGAGTGTAAACGTGTTTTATTACTGAGTATGAGTTTTTATTGTGCTGGTACCTATCGTGTTTTCCTTTCATACCGATTTCACTCTATCTTATAATGAAATATAACTATGTTATATTCATACATTGTTGTATCTTTCCAGATGATGGGTTTCAGCGAGAGAAATGTACGAACTGACTGTTTAATTCATTTTTGTATTGGTTGTTTAAAGCGAACGGTACTAGGTTTGAATCTCGGAATGAATATCAACTCTGGGATGCAGGTATATTCAGCTGACAAGTCCCAAATAGTGTGAAACACGTGCTGGACCCCATTGCTAGCTACCATCATCTCTGCTTAAAATTCATTGTTGTTTGCTTCAATTCTTATATTACTGTTATTTGTTCATATTCTGCATTTTGTTTACCTTTTGTATTATTGTTTAGAATGATGTTTTGTGACTCGGTTGTTTGTTTCAAATTGTGTTCTGTCATTTTCTTGAGGAACAATTCATCATCATTATGTAGTGTATTATTTATAATAAGCTATTTCACTTTCCATCACACTACATGTCATTCTATAAACGTTGAAAGCAATTATTGACTAAGTGTGTAACTCACTCCGTGTTTGATGTAAAAAGCGCTAGATTCAAGTTACAGGATGAATATTAACAATGGGATCTAGCTTATGAATCCTATATAAGATAAAACGTTTGTTTCGGATTCCACTGCTAACCATTATCCAACCTTGCTTAAATATGTTTGTGACTTAATAAGAATAACACGACAATTCATTCAAGATATAGGTATGCTGAAATAAATTAATCACTTTCAGTTCTTAAGTTCAATAACAGAAAGATTCCATACACTTACAAATGAAATCATTGTTGGTTGTTAAGACATAATAGTCTACGCGGCATTAACTATTTGGAATTTTGCAGATTAATTAGTTTTGGAAGGATTTATTCAGTATGTTGATGATTTTCACAGATGGACATTCGTTTTTATCACATGTACTGTTATAACATCTTTTATTCATCCAACCTTCAAAAATTCTCCCAAGTAATAGTGTAGTGACTGTGGAAATCAGTGGAGATAATCCAATGTATTTCAACACAAAATTACAGAATCAATTGGTAAAATCTGAGAACCATACAGTAAATACTTCATTTGCAAAGTATCCATCAATTGTCTCAAACTTGACTGTTTCTTTTGCCAATGTCAATCAATCGTCTTAGACTTCATTGTTCTTTCGTTTCCCCACCAATCATTCATTGTTCTCGTTCTCTTTCCTATGAGGTTTTTAACCTTCTGTTATCAGGCATTTTACTTTCGATTGATGATACATACTACTTAGATTTGTCGCCATCAGTAGTACACACCACAATAGGAAGACTGTTTACTAACTGGAGAAATAAATTTGGTTATTTTCATGTCTTATCAAATTTAAGAAGGCAAATTAATTTACACAAACATTTATTTTCATTAATTTCAGTGCTGCTTTAAATCGTAATGCTAACTTAATTAATCATGAAAATGGTAGTCTATATTATATGAATAATGTAGATAACTATCCATTTGTACCTATTAATCCAATAAGTATTAAACAGGCTTTAATAGCCAGTGCAAATCAACTAGATTCAGTACGTGTATTTGGTACGAATTCAATAAAATGGTTACAAGAAACTGATCAAAGTAGTATGTTTGAACAAGGCGCTGGTTTGGTAAATCTTCAATCGGCCCTAGAGGTAGGTAATAATCAGCTTGTGTATACTGAATTAATTGAAGTTTCCCAATAAAATAATACTGATAGTGATCATTCTTTGGTTATGTTTTTCATGTTTTCGATACCTTCTTACGCGTAGAAAAGGTTTGCGGTTAACTAAATTCAATAGCTCAATGGATAATTCTTTAGGTGTTTTAACCGAAAAGTCCTGGATTCAGGTTCCGATGTGAATATTAACACTAAAATATAGGTGCATCCAACTAATGAATCTGAAAAAGGATGGAAAGTGCAACATGAATTTCATTGTTGCATACATATCAAGTATATTCTGTTTACATCTTTGTAGATTTTTGGTCGAAAATGCTGCAATAAGTACGGTGATAATTTGTATCATTCTATTTTTCCGTACTCATTGATAATGCATTTCATACTAAACAGTCCTGTTATTCTGAAAATGAAAACATTCTTTAATCTGTTATTAAAAAAGTATTGATATGGTACGATTTATTATTAAGTAGTCGTTCGAATGAAATATCATGGATCGGTACGGTGGTCTTACCTCGCTTCCATGGTTCAACAGAAAAACTCCAGAGAATCTTAAAACTACACAGAATTAAGGCATGTTGCAAAACAATTATCAGATAAACTATCGCCACTGCTCCATAATACACTACCGAAATTCATTAATACTAGCATGTTGATTCCACTTGGTGTAAAACATCTTTTGGTGATAATAATGATCGAACAAGACCGATCTTTACAACCCATTGTATACCTGACTAACATAATGGAATATGACAGATTGGCATAAACGCATCTGGATTTTACCATATGTAGATTGATTTCAATCTGTTGCACAGTCATCAGTATTCACATGATTATCAAGATAAATGAGAAATTGACTTGCAAACGTCTTACATATTGTATTGTAGATTCATACTTTACATTCTTTATAGTGATGATTTCAATATAAAAATGTCTTTCTTAATTGAATTATTCAAGTATTACATCAATCAGCATTACCTGTTTTATCTTAATTATTTAGGTCGTCATACTAGAAAAATCTTATGTGTTGCATGTTCAATTTATTGGTTGAGTAAATACTTTTTTGTTATATCACATTTTACAGATTGTACAGCGTATGAAACCTCAAGCAAGTCTAATGCCTAGTTATTTGGATTTAACTCAATGTCCATATATGTGGCCATATTGTTCTCAACCATTGTACTCTACCATGCAACCAATTATCATCAATGTAAGTTGTTTCTTTATCCGTCTTATACTTTAGTTTATATTAATTTCAATAGTTGAGATCATGAGCCAATTGAAGCTAGACCACTATGGAAAACCTTGAAGCACTGGACAACCGTTCCGTCCTATTGTGGGACTCTTCAGCAGTGCGCATCCACGACCCCGCCTCCCGGGATTCAAACTCAGGACCTATCAGTTTCGCGCCAGGCGCTTAATTTGTTATGTATGCAAAATAACAATATAATGAGAAATAAAAAATGTTTTTTTCGCTTGCCACATTATACTACTCTTGTAGTCGACATAAGTAGCACAGACCTCATTTCGATGGTAAAACAGACGACCACGGTTATGCTATCTTTAGACTAGATACTCAATTGATATGCTCTATTTATTTATTATAATTAATGACTTGATTCAATATTATACTTTTGGTACAGTATAGAATTCTCAGCACAGGGTATTTCAACAAGTTTCTTTTACAAAAAAATAGAAAAAAGCAGTGAACGAAACTGATTAACTGCGTACATATCTGCATAACTTATATATATAAACTACCTGGAATCAAATGAGCTGTCTTTTCAAAGAAGATTTAAATCTGTACAACCTTTTAATTAGAGAAATGTTTAAGAATACAAGTTATTGACTAGGTCAACACTAACAACTTGTTCGTCACATAGTATATTTGGTAGATAAGGTATTGTAGAGCTTTTATACTTTTGCTAGCATAGATTCTAATGTGTTGACATCTCGTTCTACCAGAAGACATACAAGGAGAAAAATATGAATGAAGTGGATGGTTGGTATCTGATAACACCTGTCAAGAGTTTGCAAAACTTTAGGTGTCTGTCCACACCTATATTATTAGATCAGATTAGATCTGTAGGTCAAAGGATCGAGGAGTTGTTCTCTAAGAAAACCACCTATTTTCGTCTATGCAATTGGGTAGCATCCCAGTGATGCTCACAATGAGCAATTATTATTTAGAAACATAAATAAATGAATTAAAATATCAGGGGAAACATAATTTGAGAAAAAAATGAGTTCAGTAAAATTGTCTGGCAGATATTTGTCTCAGATTACAGCCAATATGATTTCATGTGACATTTGTTCTTTATGTTGTTTTGTTTTTGTTCTGTGGAGTTTTCCTTATCTTTGTATTATATATTCAATGCCTGTTAGTATAAGGCGTGCTTTTAGAGATTGTTGAGGTATTTTTTTATCCTCAAACCACTCATTTATCTAAGACAGTCATTGCAAACTGGGAAGTACTAGATAATTGTTTTTCTCCTACATAAGATTTTTCAATAATATATACTTATAATGCACCTTGGCGACCGAATACTGAATTTCAAGTTCTCACAGCAAAACCCTAGTCACCAGACCACTGAGTTGATATCCAATGCTTTACATTTATAGCCTAGATGTATTCACATTGATACTCAACCATCGCCCGACACTGTTAGTAAGTAACTTACTCGGTACTGACATAGTTGAACCCCACTGATCACGGTTTCTCATTAAAACTCCGAAAATTACCTCTGTAAACTAGTCAGCAGTGAGCATATAATGATTATTAGTGTAAAGCGTTTGTGTAGGTTGTTCAGTTTCATAGTTTTGATCATGGACTAACGTTAATTAGATAACCGCTGTGTTTGATTATCTCTAGAGTCGTAAGTGCACAATTTTCCAATGTTTTCCGGCATCCAGTGATTGTTTAACTTGAATCGGTCCATTGTATAAATTACATATTTTGTTTCAATGTTATATGCCTTTTTTTCTTGCTGAATTTTTCAGTAATCATAGTCCGATCATAAAATCTTCCATACTTTCGTAAATGTGAAAATTTATGGGTTATTCACCCTAAATCACTAATGAATTTCCTACTTGGGCACCAGTTTTATGGCATAACAAGTAGCTATTCAAATTTCAGCTTATTTTGATTTTGTTTTCAGTACAAGAACTTCTATGTCATAATTTATTTCAGGATCAGGTACATCGAAGATAAAGAATTCACAGTTACTCACTGAAGACAATAATGAATGGTTGCGCAATATGGTGGATTGGTTGAAGTTCTATTAACACCGTTGGATGCCGGATAGGCGTTCGCGCGCGAGGCGGAAGGTCCTGTGTTCGGGTCCCGCGTGGGGGATCGTGGACACGCACTGCTAAGGAGTCTCATACTAGTACAAAACGGCCATCCAGTGCTACCAGGTTTTCCATGGTGGTCTAGCCTAAATTGTTGGTACAATATTCTACATTATACCAACTTTTATAAGATAATGACGACTGTAACACTTAATTACTTATTGGCATCAAAGTATACTATGGGATCTGATGAAATTATTACATTTCCAAAACCTCACAACAAATTAACAATCTGATAATTTCAGGGTGCTAACAATATATAAACTGAAGAGATGGAAAACAAAAGATTACTCAAAATAGCCTGTCATTGAATAAAGAAAATTCAGCGAAGAAAATTCCCTTTTCCACACAAGCTTTCACTTATGCTGCACATTCGTATTTATAGTTATATGGTAAATATATATGTGTAGAGTGATAGAAAAGATTACATCATAAAGTGATTTGAGGCTCTAAATATCAAATGAGGTTGGGTAATAATCAGAGCATTAGAAAATAATAGAAGGACGAAAATAATTTACGGCTAATAATTATGAAAGGCAATTGTCAGCTTGATAGACATGAAGAAATAATGCCTAACAAAAATTATTCAGAATTATTATAATTATTTCGAGTAACTTAGCAAGGACGCATCTAATCGGTTTATGAGAATCGTCATCATCATGTATTCTTACCCATTCACAACTGCAATCGAGAACAGTTTTTCTAAACATTTTTGGGCGGAGATGGATTCTGCCTAGCAGTGGGATGTAGGACGCGCGTTTCGTCTTATTTTGGACTCGTCAGATGGGTGTAGTTGTTCACTCTAAGAGTCGAACTCAGTACTGTTCGCTTCAAACCCCATTGTTTTGTCTGTCCACTTAGCTACTGAGTTCAGATAGCCATTGGCTTATGTAATGAGCCAAATTTTAATTCCTTGACATTGGTTGCTTGAATCTTCGTATTACTGTTTACGGTTACAAATGAGTCCCAGAGTGCCCCATTTGGAATATCAAGGTAATCCTCATAGGATTCACAAATCCCAAAAGTGACTAATTATTTTGTAGTTGTAAACATAAACAGTGAGAATATTCAAAGAACCATTAGATTTAACTTACAATTAATCCGAATTTCTATTTTTTAGTACATTAGCATGATGGAATTCAGAAAGATGCTCAATTTTCGATTCACATTTAATCGTTGATTTACTTGGGCTGAATGTTCGTCACAGACATATGTATATCATGTCCTATAAATATGTGAACTAATTACTAAACCTGTTTGTCTTGGATACTACTTAAATAAACGACCAATCACTTTGTACTTTAACCCTTGCTAACATGCATCAGTCTAACGTTGATCGTCTATGTTTAACCATTGGTGGATTGGTGATGGATGTCGTGTCATGATAATACGTGAACATATAAGCGATTAGCCGCTAAGTGTTTTGATCATATTTTGGCCATTTTTCCATAAGATAACCTTTCTCTACTCACAAAATTTAGGCTCATACTATATTGTGTTCCCAAATCTAAAATTTAGTAACAAAAGTATAGAGGTATCAGGTAGCTAAAGTGATGAGCAGTAAAATTGACGATGGAACAAATGTATTGCCATCTGTGAGTAGCACGTTACACGTAATAGAATCAACATTTTATACGAAACAAAGTTCGTATTTGTTAAACAGATTTGTTTTTTTCTTTGAATAAACTTTGTAAATCTTATATAGCTGATAATAGACACGGTTTATATATTCTTCCCCATCTTTTTTTTAAACACTAAGATAACAATTTTAAATTCTATGGATGTTGTTGGTCGTATAGAGAAACCGCCTATTTATCATCCATACATTAATTATAACGGACATCGTCTACATGTTGGCATTTCATATTCTCAATATCTTTGGCCATGGGTTGGATATTTAGCTGTTTATCTAAGTGTAACACCTGATTCTATTGACGATATTATACCATCTTCACGTTTCTCTGGTGTTGCCGAAGGTTATATCAGTCTTGTTGTGGAATCGTATGATAATGTAGGTAACCGTTTATATGTTCGAAGTTTATAGTATTCATTTTGATTGTATATGACGTTGTTATGCACATAATGGTGTTAATAATAACATTCATAACAAACGGAACATATGATCTGTGTTTTAATTCATGTTATTTTGTCACACACACACACACTCTCTCTGTGACTAACTCTTTATATTTTTTGCTTTGAAAATAATATGGGCTAAAATAGGTGTTATGTGGTTTGATAGTCAATTGCTTATCATTGAACTCAATAAATCAGTTATGTAGAGAATTGTTTTGCACCATTTTTAATCGAACTATTGTTCACATATGTTGTTTAAAGTTGGAAGTGAGTGCTGTATGACATACTGACCTGAAGAAAATGTACTCAATATAGGACCTGAAATTGTCATGTTAAATCCTTGATGAATTTGTGATTGAATAATGCTGTAGAATGTCAACATAGGATGAAACAGCCAACTAATACTTCCTGGTTACTAATAGTTTTCCACCTGTTGTAAATTTATGGTGAAAATCATCTTTGAAAGTGGTAATTTATTATTTCGTTATTATGATACTAAAGTATACAATTTTGAACTTACTATCTTTAACGTTTGCTTTTCTACACTTCCACAGATTCGAAATCTATCATTAAGCACAAATTTACGATTACCAATTAAAGCTAACATTGTACCTATTCCACATCGATCGTAAGTTTTTTTATCTGATTGTTCAAATAAATGTATTCATAGGTAGTTTGCTAAGTGAAATCTCTTTTCATCTTTAATTCCCTGTGTGTCACATATCACATTTAAATCATCTTCTATTGTCTCCGGTACGTATCTTTCTCACGTCTGATTTACGTTCATGTGCGAAATCTAAGGTTTTCAAATCTGATTCACGGTTGTGATGTCGTAAATGCAAACAGTTGAGTACCATACATACTACGTCACAATGACCGTCCAGTACTTTCAGGTTATTGATAATTGTGTAATTTAGATCGGTTCATGATCTTAATGAAAATCTTTTTTTCGTTTTATTTAGAAAACGAATTCTCTTTGATCAATTTCATAGTATTCATTATCCATCTGGTTTTATTCCTCGAGATGATTTGACCCGATCAAAAGAACCATTAGATTGGTAAATATTTCAGAATTTGTTTTACTTTTTCTTGCGTCACTCATCATACTTGCCTTATTGTTTAAAAAAAATTTATTAGGTAGATTTTCATCTACATTGCGTTCATATCAGTTAGTCAGTCATAATCAATCAATCAATCAATCAGTAACAACGTAGAACTTCGTATGTACGTACATCAGTTCGAGTTGCCATACTACATTAGCACAGAGATGCAGTTGTCGATTCAAATCCCATAGTGGTAGAGGTAGTAAGAGTATAATCAGTAATCGGAAAGATTAGGGTTTGGAGATGTTATACAAGGAGTATAATACAGTGAAATAAATTTGAGAAGGAGGAATCAGGAGATTAGAATTTGGGAGAACACAAAGAGTGTATGCACCTGCTCCATTGCAAACGATTTTGAGCCATGTCATTCAGGTTGCCATCATCTTGCGGTTCCCAACCAGGTAGTCTACACCTACCAACATGACTCAGTCTACTTGTCAGTGACTTCATGGACTTATGCCATGCCATAATCATTATAGAGCCTGGAAGTAATATGTGCTAATCCATGTTACAATATTAAATTTTCATTACATGTTTATTTGGAAAGGTTTTTAAATGATTATAACACCAATGATAATGAAAAAGGACAGTATATTGTAAGCGTATTACAAAAAGATAGGATGAAATGGTTCATATGTCCGTGTGTACAGTGTTAGATAAAAGATGAATCCTAAACTTGGTTGTTTCTATGCATTTTAAAGTAGATAAATGATTCTCCCTATCTTTTTCTGTATCAGGACATTCATTTAATGCAGACATTCACTGTGCTTTCATCTCATTCAATCAAGTATGATTATCTGTGTACTATTTATTCGGTAATTTGTACTTTTCATCATACACTTTTACGACTAGTAACATCTTTCATGACCTCTTTTGAGCTGTATACACTTGTTTCACTTTTTGAAATGTGGTTTTTTATGATGATAATTGTTCAATAAACATTGAATCCCGTAACATTTTTCTAGGTTAGGAGATCATATTCACACAAATTTTCTCGATTTATACACACATTTACGTAGAAAAAATTATTTCATTGAAGTATTAACTTCTACATTTGACTGTTTCAATGCATCTAACTATGGTAAGTACTTGCAAATTATTCCTTTTTTTTCTGAATTATAAACTGTACTGTACGTTGGACTTACTTCTCATGTATTAATGTTCAGGGAGATAGTCTTACCGATTGATAAGTAAACTGAGCTACTAGTATGTTTTGTGAGATTTGAGATTAATCTTCAGCGAAAATCATAAAGTTATCAGAAATTAGTCGCAGACTTATTACTCAGTTATCTATTATTTATGACTTTGTTATGTACACATGTGATCATTCAGTCGATGTGCATAATCCTGTGAATTTTTGAACTATCAGCGTAGGGTTGTGGAGATTGTTGAGTTTAGATTGACTTCATGAGTGGATCAATATCAAACCACTTATGAAAACCTGAAAACGCTAGACAGTGCACTGCTGAGGAGTCTCAAACTAGGTGGAAACGGTCGTCCAATGGTTCCAGGTTTTCAATGATAGTCTAACATTGATCCATTCATGATGTCAATCTAAATTTTTGAATTAGCATTGCGATTACAATCCAAGGATATAAATTTATCTATTAGATTTATGATTTTTGGTTGTTATTCGCAGTCATTGGTGTTATTAGCCAACAAGTCATCGATGTGATCACGATGAGTAAACGATATGTGGATTCCATCATTAAGTGATTCAAAAAAATGGATGAAATAAAGTAGTTGTAAATTCATAACCGAGCCAAAATGAGAATATATTAAAAATTTCTTTGACTTAATTCCATGTATTTCTTAAACAGATTATTTCTTTGAATATTTCCACGTTTCGAGAAAGTTCGTCATTATATTCAGCAATGTCTTTTGTTCCTTCAGAGATCCATAATAGAATTGATCAACTCATTCTGGTTTTAGGTACATTCCTTATCATTGATCCGGAAGAAGAATTCTTTCCATATGAAGTAGAAAAATTATTTATAGATGTTACAGAAAAGGGATTATCATTAATTGTTTTCGCTGATTGGTATAATACTAGTGTTATGCAAAGTTTACGCTTTTATGATACTAATACTAGGTTAGTGAAATTATGTTAAACTTCATGTGTTTGTCATTGTTTCTCTTTATACTCTTATTATTATTATTGTCATCATAATCACTTATACTACGTATTGTGCACAAGATTTCACATTATATACAAATATTTTGTAGTTTCAAATCTTTTTTGTTAAAAAAGTAGCCAAACTGTCTAATCATGAAACTGATCTGATAGTCAATGTTATGATATGAACACGTGATCATTTGAAAAGTATGTGTTATACGTAATCTTCAATGGGTTGTTGAAGCACATTGGTTGTGAAACTTGTAAAATATGTTTGTCTTTGATGACTTACACAACTGTTACTTACCTACTTAATGAATCAATGTCCGTTGTTCGGATACCATCCGCAACAGCTCACTATGGGAGAGAATAAACCAGGTTCCAGTTGAGGAGGAAATTAGGAAAAGATGCTAGAATTGAACAGGACACACATAAAAAAAATCATCAAAGTGCAACACGAGGCAAGCGCTTACATGGACTCATGAAGGGAACATAAGATTTAAAATTCATGATAAAATTAATACGAAATGGACTTTAGATAATCTATTTAATAACAGTTTCTCTCTATCACCATAATATATTAGAAATTTAACAGATGTGGTAGTTTTAACAGATATAAAGATAAAGTTATGCAATCGGTTAATTGTACAAATCTGTTACGTATCTATATGAATTATGGTACGTTCTGCCACTTCTGTTACCAAATAACTATTGTGTATGCAAACGTTCTATTCATTCCCTAGAAAAACGACTTCAATTCTTATGATCAGTTAAAGAATCACTTAAGCGCATTGGCATAGTAGACGTTCATGGTTTTATTATGTTACGTTTTGGCAAATTACTTTCTTAACACATGTATCGATTCGTGAAGTTGTTTTCATTTTTCCCTGCTTTTGACTTGTTCTTACGTTTTTCTAGACGTCTATGGACTCCAGACACTGGTGGATCGAACCTACCTGCATTGAATGAATTACTTCGACCATTTGAAATTGAATTCGGGTGAGAATTTTCTCATTCTCTTCATCTATTATTGGATCCTTCGTGATAGTTATTTCTATTCTATTCTTATTAATTATTGATAAGTGAAAAATATTTAGTTTAACTGCACCGAATTGTAATCAGTCCAGATCTTAGTCAGTCATAATCAGCATAGAGCGTAGCACAAATGTTTGTTGGTGTCGAATCGTCATGATCATCAAGAACGGTATGTTTATAGAAATTTTTTACAATTCTTTCGATTACATTCTTCAGTGACAGATGATGACATAAGATTTGTTTCTGAGTAAAAAGAAACGTTTCAGCCCTCAGCACAAGAGGTACAACTCAATGAGTAAGTACATCTGTGTTTGAAAACTTGACGAATAATAAGTATATAATGGTGAGATTATAATTTATGAACGACCTTTGTGCAAGACCAAAACGACCTTCGAATGTTCACCCACTTAGTAGGGTTAAATGAGGGTAATAAATGAATGTGAAGAGTTAGTATGATGTTAGGGTTAGGAATTAGATTTAATATTTTCACGATCTGATGTCAGCCATAATGAGAATTAACTAAATGGGTGAATGGATTTCGCGCCCAAATCCAAGACCTACCCATTTTACTCACATTGGTTCGTCCATAAATTAAAGTCTCGCCGTACATAATTGACACAGATCAGAAACTTACTTACTTACTTACTTACGCCTGTTACTCCACATGGAGCATAGGCCGCCGACCAGCATTCTCCAACGCACTCGGTCCTGGGCCTTCTTTTCTTGTTCTATCCAATGCTTGTTCATTTTTCTCATATCTTTCTCCATTTCCTGGTGTAATGTGTTCTTTAATCTTCCTCTTTTCCTTTGGTCTTGAGGATTCCATGTGAGGGCTTGTCTTGTGACGCAGTCGGGTGCTTTCCTCAATGTGTGTCCTAACCACTTCCAGCGCTTCTTCCTGATTTCGTCCTCCGCTGGGATCTGGTTTGTTAGATCAGAAACTAGCCAAATATATTTACGGAATACGTGTTCATGTAAATTAAGAAAGCCGATAATCCTATATACACTAATGATTGTGATTATTACAAAAAAATATTTCATACAAATTTTATCACTCTCATCCCCTTAAACTCTAGCTAGTATGTAATCCGCCCCTAACTTTCTTCCATCCATCCTCAACACGGGTTAGCATTGCACGTCGTGGTAATCGGAATTCAGGCATACACGTGGCCAAACCATCTCAGTCGATAAAGATTCATAACCTCATCAACTCATTTACCATCATTCCTTAATACCCTGCGTCTAACCTCACTATTACTTAACCGGTGATCCCAGAATATGCGAGCAATATTTCTAAGGCATCTGTGGTCAAATACTAGTAGCTTATGAGTATCTTCTACTCTTAATGGCCATGTTTCTCAGCCGTAAAGTAGAACAGAACGAACTGCTGTGCAATATACTTGTCCTTTTATTGATAGACGGATATCTCGCCTTCTCCATAAGTTATGTGAGTTGGCAAAAGCTAAGCGAGCTTTTCGAATCCGTGCTGAGATTTCGTCCGATACCAACCCATTAAGTCTGATCAGACTTCCAAGTTAAGTTAAGTTGTCAACGCGTTCGACTACTTCACTCCCTATCCTTAGTTCAGGTATTGATGCAGACCAGTCCTGAAGCAGCAGCTTGCATTTAGAGGGAAAGAAGCGCATTCCAAACATTCTGGCATTGTTACTTAGTGCTACCAGAAGACTCTGCATTTTATCAGCGTCTTCACCAAACAGGAATATGTCATCTTCATATTCTAAGTCGATAAGTGGACCTCCTGGAAGGAGATCAATACCCGAGAATTCGGTCGACGAGAATAATATTTACATCAGTAGGTCTATGATGAAGTTAAACAAAAATGGAGAAAGTGGACAGCCTTGACGGACACCACTTGAGGTTGAAAAAGCAGATGACAGTTCTCCATAAGCTCTGACTCGACTAGTAGTGTTCGAGTAAAGAGCCTTCACAAGGTTTATGTACTTCTGAGGTACGCCTTTCAGTGACAGACACTGCCACAGAATCTCGCGGTCTGCGGAGTCAAATGCTACTTTTAAGTCGAGAAAGACCACCATTGTCGGACGCCGATAAGTATGCCTATGTTCTAGAACCTGACGAATGATAAATGTGTGGTCGATGCAGTCACGACCAGGTCTGAAGCCAGCTTGATTCTCTTGTGTTTGCAGTTCACGAGTTTTAGTCCGATAATTATCGAGGCTAGTATTTTAGATAGTATATTAGTTAAACTAATCCCTCTATGGTTGTCATAGGATGATTTTAACCCTCTGTTATATATTGGGACGATAAGTGATTGTGACCAGTCAGATGGGAGAACGTCTAACTCGCAGATCTTAGCTAAAATATTAGTTAACCTAATCGCTAAAATTGGACCACTATACTTAAAGACCTCTGGAGCCAATCCATCTGGACCAGCTGCCCTTCCTCGTTTCAGATTAACTATAGCCTTTTGAACTTCTGCTAGAGTTGGGGGACCTACTTCAATGTTCCATTCACACTGTCTGGGAATGGAGGGAAGTTGTAGAGTAGCTGAAGGCCAGCTGAACTGTTCTCTGAAATGTTCCGCCCATCGTTCTAAACGTCTGGACTGAGAGCAGATGACAGTGTCATCTTTTTCCGAAATAGTCTGACTTACACTTGACTTATTAACTCCAGTTTCTTTTATTAGTCTGTAGAACTGTCTTGTGTTCCCTATAGCCGCCGGCTTTTCCATCTCTTTTGCTTTCGTTGCCCACCACCGCTCGCGGTCGTTTCTTAGACTTTTGCTTAACCTAGGTCTGATTCGTTTACGCTCTTCATCGCGTTCAGAACCTGATGGGATGAGTTTGCGAGAATCCATCAGTGTGATAGACCTTGAAGAAATCCATTGGTTCTTTGTAACCCTGTGGTTTAAGTCGCTAATAGATGTCACTGCTGTTTCCACAGCTGCTTGTATTTCATTCCAAGCAACATCTGGGTCAGCCTCGTTTTCAGAACTGCCTAACCGTGACCTCAGTTGTTCCTGGAACCTACTTTTGGTTTCCTCGCTACTCAATTCAGTTCTAATGGGTCTTTTTACTGTGGCATTTTTGCGTCCAATGAGGCACAAGCAGATGCGTGCCCGTATTAGGGCGTGGTCGGCGTCCAAGCAGGTATTCCAGAATGAGCGACAATCTTCTACCGACCCTCCCCAACGATGACTGATGGGAATATGGTATATTTGAGTCCATCGTTGGTTTGGTGTAGAGAGTCGCCATGCTAGACGATGTCTCTCCTTATGCTTAAAATTTATGTTTGCTAAAAATAAACGATTGTCTGAGCACAGTGGCAGAAGACGATCACCATTTTCTGTTTGCTGTCCCAGAATAATAAAATACACACCTCAATGCTTTCCTGTTTGGTTTAAGCTACCTATCTGGGCATTAAAGTCACCTCCTACGAGTACTATGTCTGATTGTTTATTTAGCTTTCTGAAGAAGTTCAGATAGCTTTCTGTAGAATTCATCTTTCATTTCACCCAAGCTGCAGTCAGTGGGAGCGTAGGCAGAAACGAAAAAAAGTGACGACGTGTGTCCTTATCCTTCCGAGTTCTTACGGAACCGTTTAGCCGAACAGCGCTGTTAGGACCCGAGAAACATAATGAATGGTAATTTTGGGATCCTTTTATGGGCCAATACTAAACGTATATTTTTATCGTATAACTGTTAAATAACTAAACTATTCATATTAATGTTCCTCTTATTATAAGCTTTATTTTGACCCATAAACTATTATTATACGTTTTACCATTCTTGAGTTATACCCAGCATATTAATTACTACCTCCTTCATTCACAGCCACATCTGGCTAATCCTTGTACAAATGTTGTTTCATATTTTATTGGTACGTTGTGGTCTGCCTAATTGGTATATAAACAGAGTATGTTCGAAATATAATGATTCATATTGCAGAGGCTGAAACCTGTGTTCTGGACTTAACTGGCTGGGCTAGGCAGGAAGCAGGGCCAATCAGGACTCTACGTTGCTCGCACAAGTTTACGCGTCTTTGATCCGATTGATAAGTCACTGCTCTCTAATCGGTGGTCACAAGTTATAACAAGCACATAGACGGCTGGTAACGGGAATCCACTCCAGTAGTGCTTGTTCCGCCCTCATGCTTAGTGCTATGCCCACGAGAACTAGCCATCGGGTCTCCAGGTACATGGAGGGTGTATCTTGTAGGCTCTCCGTTTTTCCAAGGTGAGGTCAAGTGAATGACCACACTAGGATCCCGTATGCGTGTTTCGGAGACACAGCATACATCAATGGTACGAGATTCTAGGGTTTCAGCCAAGGAGCCCTGCTGACCAATTGGACATAGTGTGCGTACGTTGAAGGCTCCAATGTGTAGTTTGGAGCGAGGTTTCAGTAGACCTGGGACGGTGTTTTGAGCACTAGAATCGTTGGCTGTGGTGACACTTGAGGAGGAAGCCGAAAGAGGAAGTTTAGAGGTGAAAGTCGATGTAGGACGAATAATAGAAATCGAAGAGGGAGGTTGATTATGAATACAGTGGTCTTGAGTGCTGTTAGAGGTATAAGGGCGGTTACCACTTCCCGGTTGCCCACACCGTGGAAGGGTTCTTCTGGAGGTGCCTGAAAAGGAAATTGGATTAGAGGTGGTCTTAGTGACCTGAGAGTGTGACAGCAATGCCCAAGAAACATCTGCTTGAGGTCGGTCACACACGACCTGTTTTTGAGTAATCTTTGGGTTAATTCCGTACTTGTTGAGATCTTATCGCCGGAGACGGATATCCGTGGGATAAGGCGAGGTGTGCATTTTTAGGGCCGACGTTTTCTAACTCCACCCCTCCTTGTGAGAAGGCAGCATCGCTGTCATGCTGGTTGTCTGAAGGAAACACCTTACTGCTGTCATACCTCTGTACAGTCAGAAGTATGACTTCGCCTTCGGACCTTAGGTTTGTTGCTTTTAGTCTTACCACTCTTCAACCGACCTGTCTGATATGGTAGGAGCTTGAGCAACGGTTGTTCTAGCCAGTATAGGTCGGTTGCTTCATCACAATAGGCAAGCCTGACCACCACGTCAAGGTAGCGACCACGGTCGTGATACCCATTGAGTTCTAGTCCGCTCGTAAATTCTATCGAGTATATCCGCTGGCCTATCAAAATCAACACCATTGTCTTCAATCGCCAGTATCTGCTGGATGTTTTGCGAGATACGTCTGAGCCACAATTGATATAATTGACGTTTATCTACTATACGATCCCCCAATTCATCTGTCATGTAGCGTTTCAATTGAGAAGGTGTGTGTTACCTAGCTCTACATTGGCTAAAAGTTGATCAGTTGTCTGCTAGTCAGTGAGATATGTAACACGAATGACCTCTCTTTTTAGGCAATGGTATGGACAGTCTGGATACGGCTTTGAAATGAAGTCAGGCACTTGTTCGATAACGTCGTCTCGCGGCAACGAGTTTGCGTAACTAAATTTGGTACTGTGACTTGTGATTCTGTTTGCAACAAAAGGCTTTCTAAACGTGCAAACCAGAGTTCAGCCTTTCGAGGATTAAGTACAGGCAAATGTGTAGAGATGGTACGCTCGGTAATAGACTCTGATTAAATGTTTGGTGAATTTCCAAGTGACTTGATACGAATAAATAATAAGGATAGCAATAATAATGAGCTGATGATTGAAATATACAACATGAAGACTTAACAAATACAACATGAAATATATATAAGAGACTCACCGAAAATGAAAATCTCACTTTAAGTTTAAATATGCGACAATACAGCAGTATTTCCAAAGGAACGATGTATTGAGTGGATTTATTATGACGGTCAGTGAATTGTTAATACTTGTAATATTCATTCCTATGTGAAATTCTTCATGATATGATTGGAGAATACGCAGCAGACGTCGTAGAGAAATGCGTGCTCCAGTTGCGAGTCACCAACTTTGTTGAGGTCACTTTCTTCTAATCTGACTCCAATAAAAACTATCCAATTAAATGAGTAGTTAACCCAGGCTTAATCGCCTGGTAGAATTATGGATTTACTCGCGATTATTCAAAAACCCAAACACCAGTTGTGGAGATAGTTTATTGTTAAAGATTAGTAAAATCCGCAAGCATGCTGGAAGCAAGCGCATAGGGAAACGAGTGAGTGTGTGTGTCAAAAATAAATATCCGTATATATTCATGAGTGTTAAATGGTTGTGGATAAATTATTGATTGACTGTGTATTACAACCAATGAGAGAATAGATTGAAGATGGATGTGCAGACTCGCGTTCAATCTGACTAACATATAATTTTACATAGTGGATTAAATGTGTAAATTACAGTGAGTAGAAAAATAATAACGTAGTTGGATGGGCGGACGTACTTCAATATCCTGACAAAGAATAAATGAATAGTAACTGCTTGGAATTATTTATGGACTATTATTACACGTATTCCTGTTGGATAACTATTAAGTGACCATATTTTACGTATGTGCAATTTTATTTTATTATAAGCTTTCATTTGACTCGTGGACTAATACTATACCACTTTCTATTATTAACTTATTCACAATTTATCAGTTACAGTCTCTCACACTCACAGCCACTTGTTACTTGATCTTGTGCGATTATTATCTTTTACTTTGTGGTGTGATGCGGTCTGTTCTGCTTGTGTATAAACCAAGTATGTCTGAAATACATGATTCATACGGTGGAAGCTGAGATTGTGTTCTGAACTCAAACGGACAGGCTAGGTGAGAAGGACAAAAATGTGCTGCGAGTTGACTCTAGTCTGCTCGTACTGGTTAACGTGTCATTGGTTAGGCATAGTGCGAAGTTTGTATAAGTTGGTGTTCTGGCTGACAAATTAGTCGCATGATATTCGATGGGGCTTAGGATATAAAATGTAGGATAGGCATTGTACACACACATGCGTTCATATTAAGACAGTCAAAGTGATGATGAGCAAATGAGTGATAAGGTCAAAATGGGACTGAAGAAGAATGAGTGAATTGGATGCTGGAATAACTCATGTGTGCTTGACATGGTACTAGACTCCACAAAGTAACTATCAGAATTAACCATGCTTTTTTTGTTTCATGCTAGTTGTAATCTTCCCATTGTTTCCCTTTAGTACTTATCCAATTTCTAGGGTTTTTTATTCTGTCGTTTATTCCGTTTACTTTTGATAACATTTTCGTAGCGATTCTGTTTTCTCTGGAAATTACGTAATAGGACATCGAACTGGTAAGTTAACGTGTTATTTGTGCGTAACAATGAATTAAATTACATTTCGTTTTAGTTTAAAATTATTTTCCATACGTTCATCCATTAGAAGTTTAGTGGATTGGATTTTCAAGATTTTCGTACTGTGTTTCGTCTGTATTTCGTATTGTTTTAATGTCAGTTAACCAGTTGTTTTTGGTGGAGTTTTGTTCTCTGAACTGAATGGTTTGGTCGTGGAGCTTTCATCGTTCTGAACGACATCATCAGCACAAACTTCAGATAGAAGTGAAGTGTTCGAATTTCTCCATATGTGTTTCACCAGTTGTGCTGCAAAAATAATGTCTCAGACTATGTAACTGGTATACCCATGTTCATGAGGATCACTAGTTCCTGAAGGATTGCAGGTACAGGTTACCGACGGACACCAACTAGCATGAGACGTTGATTCAGACTGTCCTCTCGACTAATTGCAGCCATCTAACTACAAAACATGCGTTTGATGTTGAGTCACTTAAACTAATGGCCATATAACAACTTCATTGATAAGATTACATTCATTTGATCGAAGACATTCACCAACAGATACTTTTACTCTGCACATTTTATCCAGTTTCTAAGGTCATACATATCTCGCTGCCATTACGTGTAATAAAGCGTACTTTGTGAGTGGAAACATCTAACCCAATCATTCGAATCTTTGCTGAGATTTTGTTAATATGACATTTTACCTTTCTCAAGTCAGAAGGAACATAATAAAACACTCATTATCATACAGTATATTCGAAATACCCTGCATTCTTGTCAGAATCAATACACTGCAATGCTTTTTTGTTGAATTCCACGATGAATTTTATTTAAATACAGTAAAATTAAGAAACTTGTAAAGAAGATAAAATAATGCAGTTTCTACACAAACAAGGAAATTTCATTGAGTTCACATAAGCCGAACCTTATTTCCATACTATTATACATGTTATATTCGCATTATCATTTTGTCGATCAAGAATTCGCGAGATGCCACAGGTCCTTTCTTCATATTTGAGAGAAGTTCAACAATCTCTACACGTCCGTAATGACATAGTGTCACCGTTTAACCTTTCTCAATATCACCGATACGTCTACTACTTAGATGCTTTTGCTATTCTTCTTTAAAATTTCATCTCATTGTTTTTTTTGTGGTTTCGTAAAATGTACTCTTCTATATTATTTATACCTTGACTATTTGTGATTGACTGACTGACTGACTTACTGTTTCAATACATTCTTATGCAAATGTATATATTAGTTAATTGTCAATGTAATTTGTCTCAAGTTCAATACATAGGCATATTTCAACGTTCTGAACGCATTGAAATTGTTGTTTGAGAACAATATATATTGCTATGAACGAGAACACATGTGGAGGACAAGCAATTTATTGTTTAATACATGATTACAGAATATCTTCGTACAATATGAGGATCATACATTAAGTACTACACTTGCAACTCTCCCATCAATTGTCTTTTAGATTCTGTATGATTCTTCTCATTCACAATTCTTTTCTATTTACCTTTCTGTTTTCTTCAACTCGAGCGTTTAAGCCTTCTTCTACCATGCATTCCGCTTCTGACTAGTGTTACATACTACTTATGTTGAAAGACGTAAGTAGCATACACCACAATATAAATTTCATTCAAATCTACATCACATGTTCATCAGATGTACTTGCCACAACATATTTTGATTAAATTACAAAATTTGTGCAATGTTGTTAACATTGGTTGTGTGAAATCAATTTCTGCTCTCCCCCTTTCCTAGTTGCATATCATTCAGGTAGCAGTTTAAGAAAATTTCCTAATCAAGCTATCGCTAATCATACTGGTCGAACTGCACTGTTAAAAGTTAATCTGGTCGATATTGGAAAACAGTTCATTCAACACGATTCCATGTTTTCAAAGTCAGAATCAGAACCATCATTGGAAGGGGATAAAATTCTTGTTAATTCTGAACCAAATTTACGTTTAAAACCAATAATTGGTAAAGACCCAACACCAGCTATACTTGGTCTATGGACTCCTATCGTTGAAAATGTAGTTAGTGAAATGGGACGTTTGTCAGTTTACGGAGATTCGGATTGTTTAAGTTCTACGCATTTAAGTTCAAGTATGTTGTTTTTGCCTTTTTGTTATCCTATGATTCTTTCACCTACAGATAACAAGAAATGCAATGGGAGTGTGTAAATGAAAACAATTAAGATTATGTGAGTACAGTGAGTAAGTGCATATGAGGTAAAACAAAAGAGAGACATGTAAAATAGGATTTAACCTCAAACGGTAAATGAATATGCTTAAAATAGTAGTCTATGTGAAGGTCTATGCAATTCACAGCAGTGTTATCTCCTGCTGTGTGATTCATTGACGATATACACTTCGTGCGGTCGACCAGACCTTACTGTACAGATGGATGATTTGAAATGAATAGAAAAGTTCAATGACCAAACTGAATTTTAATGCAGACAAATCATAAACATTTTTGCATATGTCTCCTTCCTTACCTAAAATAACCACATATAACCGAAGACCTTGAATAGGAAATAATTTATTTCCTCCAACAACGTGCCTCGTATTTTGATTTCTCACTGTTCAGTTTTGAGTTGGTATTTTCACAAAAGAAATGTGACGTCTGGAAGCACACTCCACCGACCTACCAGTCACCAGTCCAAGATGCCAATATTAATCAAAGTAGGAAGTATTGGCGTATTGTTTAATGGACAATTTATGTCATGTTAATAAATGTATGATTCAACATGAATTGTGATTATTTTTCTATATGATTCTAAAACTCATTCATGTTGATGGTATTGGGACGAACCAATTAAAATAAAGGAAGCGAGTTTTAGTTTTTTTGCCTATATTACTCAAAACGTTCCTAATCATAACAGAATAAGTTTGATTTCTTAATATTTCTAGCCAAATAGAACACAGCGTGGTCAAATAAATAACTTATTATGAACGCGATCTGGGTTGTTATGTGGATTTCAAGATTCCTGCCTTATAGCTCGTGCCAGTTTGTGCTAGGAACCGTATACCTAAATCTTTAATCTTCACCCTTTTTGGAAACAATGTGAGGTCTTTTAAATATCTTTAACTCAGATATCTAGTCCACAAGGCAGTGAAGCAATGTAAGGAGATGCGGTCCCATGATATCCGGTGACGAACAAAAGATTCATACGCCATTTGTTTCCTCAGGAGTCTGGAGCTTATGTAGTACAATGGGTATAGAATTAGGATTTTTCAACTCCCCGAAATGGACTCTTTGTATCCACCAACTCGGTTAAAGTGCCAAACATTCGCTTTGCTTCCTCTTAACTTTGTAAACAATTCCAACACCCTCAATGCTAGAAGTCAGTGAATAGGACTTCTTTGACAGTGGCTGTACACGCGCGGTCATGTGAGAGTATTTCTATAGGGAGTAGGGACTTTTCCCACCCTCGACCGTACCAGGGCATTTCGGTGCATCTGATATTCTTATGTATCCTTATATATATATATATATATATATATATCCTTATGTATCAGTCTATTTATATTACTTTACTACCAAATGTCAAATCGGAATACTCAAATAACAATTTCATCCACTCTGGATCATTCTTATTTAAAAACTCTCAAAACAATATATCCTAGTTACATAAAAAACACCATAACACAAACAGGAGCTCCCATTATATAGATAATTATGTCATTTATAATGCAAAACTGAACAATAGGTATATAATTAATTGTCACTTACAAGGACGATAAAACGCATATATAATGGTAAATGACTGTGGAATAGTCTTCAACTTTTCGTCCTTTATACTCACCCTGTTGTATCTAATGCTCATCTCCAGTGTTTAAGTATCACTCAAAATGTTCTATTTCTTTTTTCTCTCTGTAAATAAAGATTGCTTTTGGCTGTTAGATGCATTACTTCAATTCTCAACCAGTAGTATGGGACGAATCCCACGAATTTTAATTGAACAAATGTTTACACCGAATACCGATGTCTGGTTTGATTCTTCTCTGACAGCACCTTCACGTGCAAAAAGTTTGTTCAATCCACCTTTTCTAATATATGTTTTTTTTCATATTTGAAAGCCATTGACTAAACGTTTTCGTGTAGGTTGTTTAGCAACTGAACCATCTTTGTGAGTAGTTTGGACTGTGATCGAATATTTTGTTGCTTCAATTCTCTATATTGTTTGACATACTGCCCTCTATTTGCTATATGAACACCAATACAATGTTATTCAACTAATCGAAGTGAAGCATATTGAACGGCGTTACCCTTGATTCTTCATTTATCTAGAGTTAAATATGCTTAATAGTTAGTTATTGTTTGCACTATATTGTACTTGTTTGTGTGGTTGTAGAGGTGTGTGAGCGTTTCTCACTACCCAGATCCCGGCATTCTGGAAGGATACTTATAAAGGTACCTGAAAACAAATAAATTGGAATAAATCTCGTTAACCTGTGAGCAATTGGTAGTTGCACAAAGTTACATTCATATATAACCTAACTTGAGTGGTTCTTGATGCGTTAGCTTCGTACATTTGAGGCTTTTTCGTCATTGACATAAATCCTTAAGGTATAGAGAGATGTTCGTTTTTTATGGTTGACCCTACGTTTTTATGCAAAAATGTTGTATCGTTCCAAACGCTGTTTGGATTAGAGGAACACCTTACTGCCGTCACTCTAGTATAGTCGATAGTATGGATTCACCCGTAAACTTTGATTCACTGCTCTTAGTCTTACGGCTCATCAACTGAACTATCTCATATGGCAAAACAAGTGATTCAGCAAAAATAACAGGATTTTGTTAACTTCATTATGTAAACCTGAACATCACCGAATCGTTCTCGTTAGTAATGAACATACATCTTCATTATAATCACGCTTTAATTTGACCGGTGTTTATGTACTTCTCTGTTTTGATTTTATTTTACAAGATTCTCAATTAAATCTGTATAGTAATGTGATAAAAAAGGAATGGGATTCATCTACGTTGAATACTAGTTATCTACCACTTGAAGCTTATTATTCTGTTAAATCATGTTATATCGCTCCAACAGCTTCCATATCCATAGATAAAGATGAACCAAATGAGTAAGTCTGAATTATCATTGTTGTTTCTTTTTAAAGTTTAGATGGATTTAACAACTAAATCGAGTAGTATCAACACACTTACACAATGGTTTTTTCCCAATAAATACACGGACATTATTATCATTAATATCGTTGGCTTTATTCAATATTATTTTTTGGCAATATAGACTTTTAAGCGCAAAGTATTTCAACAAGCCTCCTCTTATTTCGTTTTCGAATCTGACGATGAATACTGAGTGATATCCAGTTAGATGTTAGCAGTTCAGCAATCAACATCTGAATAATGTTCACTCTTTTCGATGCATATTGCCAACCACCACAATATCTCTTATTGTTCTGTTTTGTAACTTGTTCAGCGAAATGTCGTATACTTTTCATAAATGCCACTTATTTAAATATATCTACATGAACGGAAGAGGTAACACAGATTTATTCAAGCAGGCCGCCTACAATCACTTTTACTGTATTCTCAAGTAATTGAAGTATTTGGAAGTTATTCATTAATTGTATTCCGTCTTTTGGAATAGAATACGGTAGTAGAGAATTTCGGGCTGCTTATTGTATTAACTCTGTCTCAGATATGGTCTCTAGTCCCCTTAAACTTAAATTAAATAGAAAAAATATTATGGTCGTTCGTTTCATTTAGTTTCTTCGACAATTTGGAATGATTTCGAATATACTTCAATAAACTGACAAAATATCTAACCATATCATGAATGTTTGTAATTCCTAGCAGCATAAATCCTGTTACTCTTGAAATAAGGCAACAATAGTGACAAGTACCTTTCATCATTAAGTTCTGCTATTCGAACTTTCTAAGATTATTTTGACTAAACCAGTTGGACTTTATATGAGATTTGGTAATTTTCTATGGTCGATATTGTCTCATGACATCTATCTGCAGATTTTATTGTTTAGTATATGTAACTAGCAGTGAAATACAAGGAGCAAGTTTCGTCCCATTTAGGACTCGTCGACTGTCGTATGTATCTGCATCGCAGTGTTTATGTTCACATTGAGACTTAAGTATCAACCATGAGCAATTGCATACGCTTATACATCATTTCTTTAGACCGCTTTGAACAAGTCATTAGCTTAATGGTTAACGTGTTCCCCGATTAAAACGATAGCTACTTTGTTGCAGTCTAGATGTGAACATTTGTATACATTGAAATTCATGCGCGTGAATCCGATAAGCCTCCAAATCAGACGAAAATTGCTTCTTGGATTGTATTCCACCGCTAGTCGTATTACTATATCTGCTAAAGCAGATAGATGACAGTGGGTCTGTCGACAATTTTTTGTCATAAGAATGTTGAATTTGTTTACTGTAATATATCTCACGTAGTACAACTTCATCATTCCAGTTATAATTCTGATTGTTCAGTGTTTAAATAAATATTAATTTTTCTTTGGAACTTCCCAGATCATTCTATCATCCACAGCGCTTATTGCTCTATCCAGTAGAATTATATCCATCGGAAAAATTATACACTACTCATTATTGTCACTCATTTACTTCAATTCTATCATCTGATAAGAATTCATTCTTAATTAACAAACCGAAATTATTGTTACAGTCTATTAACGACTTTATACAACTTGATTTGTACATATCTTATAACGTAAATTTTATATGCGTCATCATACTACTTATAGTAGTTTGCTATTTTTGTAAACATTGTATCATGTACTTTAGTAATAGTATATTATATGTAACAGGATGGATTCTCTCTATGATTCGATATATGCTTGTGCGTATTCTATTTGGTTTGTATAATTTATGGCGTGTACATATCAGCGATTTTTCAAAAAAGGTATTCAGCAAAGTATATGCTACTAATAATTCTACTGGTAGTAGTAGTAGTACTACTGCTGAAATATCACTATTATCACCTTCAATAGTTCAGAAAATTAGCCAACAGAACAGATCTAATATACATGTATGTGTACATAGATGACAAATGATTGGTTGGTGTGTGAATTGTATATTTCTGTGCTGATCGATTACAGTTTTGTGTAGGTCCAGCGGTTCAATGTTCCAATAATTAACTTCATCCACGTATTGTATTTAATTTCAGTTCATTCGTGTATCTCTTTTTCTCTTTCATATTTTCAGCTATTTTGTAAATAGAAATGTATTCAGTACAAATTGATACTTGTTTTTCATACTATTACGTTATATCGTAATATTCAGTATTCCACTGAGAGTAAAAATATTTCTTGCAAGTATTATGCATTTATTCATCAATCAGTTATCATCAGCACAGAATACGGGAAATATTCGAAATTATTTTGATACGATGATGTGTTGCTGATTGTGTAGGTCTAGGTCTCAGATTCACTGGAATGACGCTATCGTTTGTTGAAAGTAAGAAAGCCGTTTTGGATTAGAAGAGCGTGTTAATATACGGGTTACTCAACAGGGTCAGTCTTATTTGTATTAATGATGTTATTGAGTGAGAAGTTAAGGCTTTAAAAGAAATGCTAATGAAGAATGATTATTCATTAAATTATATAAGTCAACCTATAGGTAGCAGTATTTTGTGTCCCATTAAGTTTCGACAACCAGAAGACTTACGTTTATCACCCTAACCTTCAGAGGTAAATTTAATAATATTTACTTGAAATGAAGGCTCTAATTAGTGTTGAGAAGGACATTTCACGTAATGCAACTCACGATTACTAAAAGGTCATAGTCTTTATTTCACCAAAAACAAAACGCGTGTACGATTTAATTTGTCCTATAAATATTCTGCTGAATCTGTATACGAGATACTGGCGACCCCAGAGTCTGTGTGAAAGCTATAGAGTCAGAACAGGCACAACTCGGCTTTAAACATTATCTGCTTCTAAACACAAACAAACACCTATAAATAGGGAGGAGCAATCATGATCTGCAAGTAATAATGATTGAACACCTGCTCAAGTGACTACAAAACGAAAAAATTCCAGTGATTAAATAAGAGGATAAGATGGACGAATATCTTCTTCCATTGAAAAATATTTGGTTAAGTCGGGTCGATGGGTTTATTTTCATAGTTGAATCCATGAGTCGATGTAAGCTAGACCACCAACGAAACTCTGGGAGCTCGGGACAGGCGTTCCGTCCTAGTATGGGACTCCTCAGCGGTGCGCTTACACGATACTGGACGCAGGATTCCAACAATCTAGTCTACTGAGCCGGGATCTAACGGTGTTCGTGTCCAGTATTTTATGGACTACTCAAAGTTCATGTCTTCACATTCTGTTGATTGAGCTTCACTTCTGGATATTCTTCAAAAATATCGGTAGTATAGGCATATGTTCATTTATTTTCTCCCATAAAACCAATTTTCTCACTCTTTTCATACACTGATTCGAAGATTTAAATTCCTCTGTTACAGAAATTTTCCAACTGTTTTCGCTCTCATTTCGTTTTGTGCCGTTCATTGTTTGAAACTACTTATTTTAACTCATCCACCTTCTTGTTTTCTCGAACTACTAAAATCTACACCCTACATTTAAATATTTGTGCTTCCTCCTGGATAATCACTTGGTATGTCGATCTTATCTTATTCTCCGATTCGAATGACGGATCTCTAGATAGATGTGGTTTCAGCAGCGAAAACAGCGAATGGACAATATGTGAAACCGAATTCCAGCGTATTATGACATAGAGTGTGGATACTGTGACTAACATTATGCAGCCATTCATACGTATCATTGTATGAAGTTCAAATAACTGCTAACAATTAAGTAAGATTATTTCATGTTGATTTTGGAATTAAGGTTAACGTGTATTTGGAATACAAAATACTTGACGATCTTGATAAAAACTTTTATTCAACAGTGTTTTTACATCTAAACTAATTAATCAAAAAAAGAAACGGAATTCGCGAGTGTATCTGAAAAACAATGAAGTAAGAATTTATTATACTTAAATTAATCATGTTAATCGAAGAATGAGCTAACGACGGTGGCTTTCCTACCCAGAAGGTCAGCGCAGTAATTCATACTAGAAATATGGTTGTTGGTCCATATTGTTCATCCATCAACGCGTTAGTTTACCAAATCTGGCCCCCAAATGCCCTGGTACGGCCGAAAGTGGGGAGAGTCCGCTCTCCCTCTCGAAATGCTCTCACATGGCCACGCGTATATAGCTTCTGCAGGGAAGTCCTACTCACTGCCTTCTCGTGGCGGGGATGTTGTTCTCAAAAATGGGGGTACGAAAAGCGAGTGTCTGGCGCTTTAACCGGATTCCAAACCAATGGTGCACATGGGCTCCAGTATCCCGCGGGAATAAGTGGCGTATGAACCAATCGTTGGTCACCGGCTACCATGGGACTGCATCTCCTTACGATGCTCCACTGCCTTGTGGATCAGACCTTCTTTGGTCGAAGGCTCGGGGTGTGGCCCCCAAATAAAACCACCTGTTTCTGTCTGGGCACCCGGGCAGTAATACAGCCCTCACACACATCGAATGAGATTTGTGTGGCGCATATGTATTTGGTGCCCCTTGTACCAATATCTATGTGTTAAAATATATAAAATAAATAAATAGTTTACCAAGGAAACCGTGAGTGAAAATGAAACTTTAAGTTCTAAATACTTAGTGCTTTGTTCATGTATCTGGAGCTACCGTTGAAATTATTTTGATGAAACATTAGTTCTTAGTATAATAGTAATCTGTTGAATAATGCTATACACCATCCTCCATTTTCTATTACACCTAAATGCATTCTTGAGATTTCTTTCAAGAAAATATCTGACTGGTTCGTACCTATATAATTTGAATGCATTCAGAACAAATGGGGTTTTCGGACGCTTTGTGACTCAAAGTAACCCAATTCTTCAGAGAATAAAAAACCTAAGTTGATCAACCCAACTTCAAATGGAAGAAATGAATAATGCTAGCCACCATTTATCCCTCCTTAAAATGCTTGTGACTTAAGATAGTATCAAAGCAATACGAACACGATGCTCATGTGCCATTCAAAAACTGGTCAATTGCAAGCCTAAACTCCAATGATAAATTTCAAACGGACAATACGAAATGAATTAAAACCTCACTCCATTGAACAGACTAGTGACTTCCTAGACGCGGTAGGTTAGTGGATAACGCAATGGCGTTTGAAGCCAATCCCGGAGTGAACGTCAACTACGAGATGCAGTTAGATCCAGATGACAAGTCCCAAGTAGGATGAAACGTGCAACCAAGATTCGACTGATAGCCACCACCCACTTATACACATCTCTTCACAAATTCTTTTATACAGCTGATGAGAACCCACGAAATATGATGAATTCATATTATTCCACTTCAATAATTTTTCTGACTTTATTCAAATTCATATAAGTTACCAATTGCATGAAATTTGTAATCACTGTATAATAATAATACTGAACACTAGAAATTTTCTGAACAATTAAATTTACTTGATAAATTGAGTTATTCATGCTCTTATGCTACCAAACCATTCTTGTCCTTGAATTAATTTCCATTTTCATATGGACGATCTCCTAGAGAATGATATAAATGTACATAGGTAATCAGCAGGATTATATACTTGTAGACAAATCACATCTATGCAATATAATGATAAGTGATAAGACACTACATCAAATGATAATGTAAACGAGCAAAGGGATAGTGCGAAAATATAAAATTAAACTTTCAAGATGTTCAAAGGTTTGCAACGTTTGTTTTGAACAGTTCACATGATGATTCTTATCACACACTTGATTTAACTAAGCTCACTGTAGTATGAATAACGTGAGTGAAACTGATTTATCGTCTAAACATATCAATATGAAATCAACAAACGTTTGTTGAAATATACAAAACAAATCAACACAAGATTATGATGAATAAGGAATCAGAGACTGAAAGAAAAGTGAAATTCTCTTGACTGCAAAGTTGAATAGCATAAGACAATAATCCGTATTGTCAAATCCATAAAAACGAAGTGAAATCGATGAACAACAAACTGGAATATTAAGTGAAATGCTGGAAAATTTGAATGCAACAAACTGAAGTGACTAGGTAGACTATTGTTAACACCCAACAAAATATGATGCTACATGAATCGGCGAAGCCTATGACCATCAGTGAAGTGATCTGGCAGTATCATATTCGAACTGTGGAAGAATCAGAGCCAGTAGTACAGAAAAGTATGGAGTTCTGAGTAGTTCACATCAAAAACAAAGTTGCTTTAAGAGACCAACGCAAATTCATGCAATAAACGTGCAGAAGGGGTAATGTTGAACATCTCTTCTATTCAAATGTCACAAGGTCACTGAAACACTTACAAATATGGAGTGTCATCTTTCTTTGTTTGATGGCTGATACGTCAGGCACTGAGATATGGTAGAGGTGTAGTTTCTAGCACTATGTCAAGCCCATATGTCACTCTAGATTCCGGACAGAACAGTTTGTTCATTTTTCTTGAGCCACATTTTGACCTTGTCAATTATTCGCATGTTAACACTTCGACTGCTTTTAATGAGCGTATGTGTGTACATACGCTCATCCCTTTTCATTACCACATTAGTTTATATTTGTCCGGTTATAAATATTCAGTCACGTTTTATCAGAACCAGATGACTTCCTCGCTCTGATTTCCCACTTCTTACTCTGCATGTCTGTCTGGATAAAGTGGTGCTTGAAATAAATTCATCAAACGAAATCCGTATTCGGCCTCTTGTTACAACCTTCACACAAACGGGGTTAATCTAGGTAATATACTGAGTCAAATTTTTGATTTATGTTCATGGCAGATTTAAACGTTCATCCAAATTAGAGTCAGATCAATAGGTCATTAAACAGCTACTCCGATTATTAGGGTTCTTCTATTTACTTTTGAGGGTTTATAATTGGAAGATTATGGAAATCTGTGTCAAGATGATCAGTTGGGAGGTGTTTCAAATGTACGCGATTGTGTTCAATCTGTTTTGTCTAATGAAATGGAATCTGAAATATTGAGTGAAAATTTGACAACGTATGTGGATAGATATTTGAAACATACTGTTGGAACACATGTAAGTGTCGTGTCAATTACTAAACAGATACATCTTATCGACGATTGTATCAACAAACGTATGCATCCTTCCTCTTTTAAATGTTTAACACTCCGCAATCCGTGTTGATATTCACTCATAATCTCGTAAGAGGTGATGCACATGATAACTGTGTTATCACATCATCCAACGTCAATATATTGGAATGTAAAAAAAAACTTACAAACATGAACTTAATCTCATCACATTTGCTTCTACAATCAACATGAATGTCAAAAATTCAAACGAATTCAAATATACGATCTGATTATTATACTGGGATTTCGTGCAATCGCTTTTCTATTAGTTACTGCGTATCTCAACGGTTCAACGTTGTGCTAAGCCAATGTCGTATTCTAAATTATATTCACTGGCGCATAAGGCCAATCCCACGACTACACGGTGAAAGTTCAAAGGTGTGCAGCAAGAGTGAATTCGACATCGGCCGAAAAAGCTTATCGTGATCAGCTTAGTAGGTCTGCATTGCCATATATAGTATCAGAAAAACGTAATTTTGGGCGAAGGAAAGTCATCTATGATTCCTGCATTTCTAAGACACTGAGAATAACCTGCAGTGGTCAATCACATTAGTAACTAATAATTTAGAATGTGTTCATATAAGAAACCAAAGAAATAAATTAGATTACCGTGTTTGTCAGAAAGTTGAAATCCTAGAGCATTCCCAATCACTAAAAAAACAAAATTCCATGACAATTAAGATAACCCACATAAATCGTATATAACATTATAAGCGAACGGATCAATTCTTCAATACAACTAGATCTGACAACATATGATATGATGTGCGTCATTGGGAATATTTATTCACGATTTCCAACTTCACACGGAATTGTGCTACTTCAAGCAGTCATGGCTAACCTCGTACTTGATTTCAGAGAGGGCATGATGACACACATCAATTTTATACATGCTATACACGACCATTGAATCGCTCACAAATATTGTAAGCCATCTGTCAATGTTCGGTGTCAAGTAAGTAGGATACTAATGAATGTTGACAGTATTTACATTATGAAAGTTCGTCTGATTCCCTTAAGAGGTTCATGAGTGAAATATTGTGAGAGTCGTTATCTATGTGCTCACTCTAAAGCTGTTTCATGTGTACACGTATATGTAACGCTGTCATATCCACTGTAATGGAATTCCTATTCATAAATGAGGATGTGACAAAGCATGTAAATCGGTATTTAAAGTGAATTCCTGAAACATATATGGATGCCGCATTGTCTCCATCACAATCGTAGTCGTGTAATTACAAGTGATATTCAAGTCATTATGCAATCAGTTATCAGAAAAAAGTAAAAACCATATAATCGAGACATTCAGTCGACGTTCGCTTACCGGTAGAAATGTCCACTGTACCATCTGGAACATTGTCATCTACAAATGTCGGAACAAACAACACTCAGTTCGTGTTCATTCTTGTTACCGCGTGTTTACGTCGAAAGCATTCACTTTACAACCACTTCGGTAGTTAAGTAGCAGACTACTGACGCATAATTACAATTCAATGCATCGAGAAGAAACTTAAAAATCGGTAGATTTGTCCGGTTCATAACCAAATTTGTGGTTATCCATAAAACATATGAACTCTCATAACTTGCTGATCGTCACCAATTTCCCAGCAGCATCTCCATACATTATATCAACAAGCGTAGCCTACATTTGTCAGAGAAAGGAACGATAATGGTCAGTGATTTGCAAACCTATGTGCCTTCAATAAACTGGTCATAGGCGGCACCATATTCTCACATAAACGCATTCACAAAGCCACATGGACTTCACCGGATCACACAACACAAAACCAAATCGACCATATCTGCATCAACAAAAAGTTAAGGAGGATGATGGAAGACGTGAGAACCAAGAGAGGAGCTGATATAGCATCAGATCATCACTTGCTGGTCACCAGGATGAAATTGAAACTCAAGAAGCACTGGACAGTGGGGCGGACAACATCACAAAAGTTCAATACGGCCTCTCTTCAGGATACTGACAAACCCAACAAATTCAAAATAGTCCTCAGCAACAAGTTCCAGGCCTTTCATGATCTACTCAATGGAGAAGGAACTACTGTGGAGAGCAACTGGAAGGCGGTCAAAGAGGCAATCACTTCAACATGTCGTCATGCTCTAGACCACAGGAAGCACCATCACAAGGAATGGATCACTGTTGATACACTGGATAAGATTCAAGAAAGAAGGAACAAGAAGGCAGCAATCAATACCAGTCGAACAAGAGCAGAAAAAGCCAAGGCACAAGCTGAATACACAGAAGTAAACAAACAAGTGAAAAAAAGCATTAGACCTGACAAACGTAAATATGTGGAAGATCTAGCAGCGACGGCGGAAAAGTCTGCAAGAGACAACTGTATGACATAACAAAGAAACTCTCTCGAAATCACCGCAAACCAGAACGACCAGTGAAAAGCAAGGAAGGCGAGGTAATCACCAACATTGAAGAGCAGCGAAACAGGTGGGTAGAACACTTCAATGAACTCTTGAATCGATCAGCCCCACTGAACCCACCCAATATTCAAGCAGCACACAGGGACCTCCCAATCAATGTTGGTCCGCCAACAATTGAAGAAATCAGCATGGCCATCAGGCGAATCAAGAGTGGCAAAGCAGCAGGACCAGACAACATTCCAGCAGAGGCATTAAAAGCAGACGTCGTGGTAACTGTAAGGATACTCCACATTCTCTTCAATAAGATTTGGGATGAGGAACAAGTATCAAAAGACTGGAGAAAGGCGATCTCAGCAAGTGTGATAACTACAGAGGCATCACTCTTCTCTCAATACCGAGAAAAGTCTTCAACAGGGTATTGTTAAACAGGATGAAGGACTGCGTAGACGCCCAACTTCGTGACCAACAGGCAGGATTCCGTAAGGATAGATCGTGTACAGACCAAATCGCAACTCTACGGATCATTGTAGAACAATCAATTGAATGGAATTCATCACTCTATATCAACTTCATTGACTACGAAAATGCATTTGATAGCGTAGATAGAACAACACTATGGAAGCTTCTTCAACACTACGGTGTGCCTCAGAAGATAGTCAATATCATACAGAGTTCATATGATGGACTAAACTGCAAAATCATGCATGGAGGTCAGTTGACATTGTCGTTCGAAGTAAAGACCGGTGTCAGGCAATGTTGCTAATTCTCACCCTTTCTCTTTCTCCTGATGATCGACTGGATCATGAAGACATCAACATCTGAAGAGAAACACGGGATACAGTAGACTTCTAGGATGCAGTTGAACGATCTAGACTTCGCAGATGATCTGGCCCTTCTATCGCAAACGCAACAACAAATGCAGGAGAAGACGACCAGTGTAGCAGCAGCCTCTGCAGCAGTAGGTCTCAACATACACAAAGGGAAAAGCAAGATTCCCCGATACAACACAGCATGCACCAATCCAATCACAATTGACGGATGAGATTTGGAAGATGTAAAAACCTTTGCACATCTGGGCAGTATCATTGATGAACAGAGTGATTCTAAAGCAGAAGTGAAGGTGCGGATCGGCAAAGCAAGAGTAGCGTATATGCAACTTCGAAACATCTGGAACTCGAAGCAACTGTCAACCAACACCAAGGTCAGGATTTTCAATACAAATGTCAAGACAGTTTTACTGTATGGGGCAGAAACCTGGAGAACTACAAAAGTCATCATTCAGAAGATACAGGTGTTTATTAACAGTTGTCTACGCACAATACTTCGGATCCGTTGGCGGGACACTATTAGCAATAACCAACTGTTGGAGAGAACAAAGCAGATCCTAGAGGAGGAAGGAATCAGGAAGAAGCGCTGAAGGAGGATAGAACACATTGAGGAAAGCACCCAACCGCGTCACATGACAAGCTCTCACCTGGAATCCTCAAGACCAAAGTTAAAGAGGAACATTAAAGAAAACATTACGCCGGGAAATTGAGATAGACATGAGAAAAATGAACAAGCACTGGATAGAACTGGAAGAGAAGGTCCAGCAGAAAGTGGGTTGGAGAATGCTGATCAGCGGCCCATGCTCCATTGGGATTAAAAAGCGTAAGTACGTAAGAAACATTCTTTGATTACTGAAGAGTATACACACTGCACTCACTTCATACCATCCTGTTGTGGATACCGATACATAAGTTGATTTCAAGGCGTAGTTTATTTGAATCTCATATAATACGATTTGTTGCTTCATAAAACTCATTTCTCATTTTATCTCTGATGTTTCGTAGGTCACGATACATCTCTCCATAGATTTACGGTATTTATGTAGCTGATTACTGATGTCTTTTAGTCCATGCAGACATATATGCGTGCGTGCATTTGTTGTAACTGTATTTCATATGTTGAGTTCTAGTAAGGCGATGTTCACGAATCCTCGTCACTTTCTCCTCGCATATTCAATGCACATGTGTATCTGCTTATGACTGAAGTTTGAGATAGATACATCGATTTGTGCGTGTCAATTCTCGTCATACAAAGTTGGTCAAATAAACCATCATTACAGTAATAGGGAGAAATTCAGCTTACGATTCTCGATGACTTCACTTTCACCAGAATGATTGTCGAAGGCTTTAAAATAATAAATCGAAAGACGATAGGTTCATCAAAATGTCGACAAGATTTATTCATGCTATTCGTGGTTGGTCACTACTAATCGTTGTCCACCAAAGCTCTAGACATTGACAGCGAAATGCTGTTTCAATTTTTCAAAACAAATCGAGTCGAATGTTCGTCTGCAGCGAGAGAGACAATGTGAGGTGAGAAACGACGCTCACATTGACTTCCTCTTCTAATCTGACTTGCGAATGACTTTCGCTCACATTGATTAGAAATATTCTCACTACCCTTAGATCAATAAGTGAGCTTGATGTAATCTTCCCCTATTATAAAGATTATTGGTGATTCAAGAAAGTGACTATCGAATGTGTGTCACATCCTTGTGGTCACCCTACTTGAAAGAGTTCTTGATACCTGCAATATAATAATTGAATGATGCTACACAGCACCTTTAAACATGACATAATTCGCTATGGAATTGTTGTGAATTTTATGCACACAGTTTTTGTCACAACCTTCTCATATGGACTTACTTGGTATATCTTGTTTTTGTTACCAGAGATTTACTGGATATTTGGATCCTCTCTCACATGTGAATGATTTGTGATAAACATCCTTGCACGTTTATCTACTTTTAAACCATAATTATTTGATCGGAAAAAGCGATATACGTTTTGAGCCATTATCAAATTTTCGAGTCAAGTTGAGCTCGTTAAACTCAAATAAAAGTATTGTCATAACTTACACATCTCGTCGTGTGCTGATTTCACGTCATCTTCATTAACAACTAGATAATTGATAAACGTAGACTTGTTAAGACTTTTCGAATGTGAATAAGATTTATTTGCTTGTTTTCTGCATATCGATAATTAGTAGTAAATCTCATTTGACACTCGTCATCCGGTAGTTTAAATAGTCAACCGATTTTGTTCGAGCAACCATTGTAGACCACTGAGCACAACACAGAGGATTTGTTCTAGTAAGAGACTACTCAGAAGTGCACGCTTTTGACTCCAACCCGGATCCCACACGCGAATGTTACGTCGCTTATTGAGCTTATCAAGCATTCAACACTATCCAGTCTCAAATTGACTGATAAATTAATATTCGTCTTCAATAATAACGTGTGAGAGAAAGCAGATTGTGTACATGTGCCATGTATAATTTTACGTCTTAAATCAACTCAGCCTTAATTACAGACAGAATAAAAAGGAAATGAAATCCAACTTACATTGACTTGATTTGCCCGTACATTGTTGAATTTGAAAGTGAACTAACATTTGAGAGAAGGAAATTCATTAGATTCGTCGTAATGTAAATGATGTCATTCACACAAAAAAATTAGACTTACGAAATTTATATATGACTGTACACATGTGTTGTATATGATCGTCTAAATCTATTAAAGACAAACAATGATGTAAATTTTAAAAGCGTGAATGGGAACAAAATGCATGTTCGTTTCAAATTGATTTACTGAGATGAATTTCATCAGAAGCACTTATCGAAATGAAACACATTTAGCATAGATTGATTTTATGCATCTACCAGCCAGAACGATTGCGTATACTATGTTCAGTTGATCAAGAATCATAGGCCTCCATAATGAAATTATGCGAATTCTATATTATATAAAACAAAATTTTGCACTAAATAAATTCTCTTATGACTTAGGCTACTGTTTTGCATTTAGAATTTCCATGTAATGACCAATATTATTATTAATCATTACGCGCAAACATGTTCTTACATGAAAAGAACAAAGTCACATAAAATTATCATCCCTGTCTGATAGTTGAAATCCTCGAGCATTCGCAATTTATGGGAAGGAGAATAAAATTCCATGAGAAATTAGGTTGAGTGGTAAGAATAATGTGCCAATTCACTGGCTAAATGAATCAGTTCTGCAATCCAACTAGATCTGACAACATATGATATGATGTGCGTCATTGGGAATATTTATTCACGATTTCCAACTTCACACGGAATTGTGCTACTTCAAGCAGTCATGGCTAACCTCGTACTTGATTTCAGAGAGGGCATGATGACACACATCAATTTTATACATGCTATACACGACCATTGAATCGCTCACAAATATTATAAGCCATCTATCAATGTTCGGTGTCAAGTAAGTAGGATACTAATGAATGTTGACAGTATTTACATTATGAAAGTTCGTCTGATTCCCTTAAGAGGTTCATGAGTGAAATATTGTGAGAGTCGTTATCTATGTGCTCACTCTAAAGCTGTTTCATGTGTACACGTATATGTAACGCTGTCATATCCACTGTAATGGAATTCCTATTCATAAATGAGGATGTGACAAAGCATGTAAATCGGTATTTAAAGTGAATTCCTGAAACATATATGGATGCCGCATTGTCTCCATCACAATCGTAGTCGTGTAATTACAAGTGATATTCAAGTCATTATGCAATCAGTTATCAGAAAAAAGTAAAAACCATATAATCGAGACATTCAGTCGACGTTCGCTTACCGGTAGAAATGTCCACTGTACCATCTGGAACATTGTCATCTACAAATGTCGGAACAAACAACACTCAGTTTGTGTTCATTCTTGTTATCGCGTGTTTACGTCGAAAGCATTCACTTTACAACCATTTCGGTAGTTAAGTAGCAGACTACTGACGCATAATTACAATTCAATGCATCGAGAAGAAACTTAAAAATCGGTAGATTTGTCCGGTTCATAACCAAATTTGTGGTTATCCATAAAACATATGAACTCTCATAACTTGCTGATCGTCACCAATTTCCCAGCAGCATCTCCATACATTATATCAATAAGCGTAGTGTACATTCGTTGGTTAAGGAGGCAAACATGTGGGTGTGAAGTACATAATTTACGGCGTTTAAGTGTCCATTTACCGAAAACACAAAGCTTGAAATAAGTCACGATCTGTCCCGTTTATAATGTTATTGCATTGCACTTTCTATGCCTACTGAAGAGTATACACACTGCACTCACTTCATACCATCCTGTTGTGGATACCGATACATAAGTTGATTTCAAGGCGTAGTTTATTTGAATCTCATATAATACGATTTGTTGCTTCATAAAACTCATTTCTCATTTTATCTCTGATGTTTCGTAGGTCACGATACATCTCTCCATAGATTTACGGTATTTATGTAGCTGATTACTGATGTCTTTTAGTCCATGCAGACATATATGCGTGCGTGCATTTGTTGTAACTGTATTTCATATGTTGAGTTCTAGTAAGGCGATGTTCACGAATCCTCGTCACTTTCTCCTCGCATATTCAATGCACATGTGTATCTGCTTATGACTGAAGTTTGAGATAGATACATCGATTTGTGCGTGTCAATTCTCGTCATACAAAGTTGGTCAAATAAACCATCATTACAGTAATAGGGAGAAATTCAGCTTACGATTCTCGATGACTTCACTTTCATCAGGATGATTGTCGAAGGCTTTAAAATAATAAATCGAAAAACGATAGGTTCATCAAAATGTCGACAAGATTTATTCATGCTATTCGTGGTTGGTCACTGCTAATCATTGTCCACCAAAGCTCTAGACATTGACAGCGAAATGCTGTTTCAATTTTTCAAAACAAATCGAGTCGAATGTTCGTCTGCAGCGAGAGAGACAATGTGAGGTGAGAAACGACGCTCACATTGACTTCCTCTTCTAATCTGACTTGCGAATGACTTTCGCTCACATTGATTAGAAATATTCTCACTACCCTTAGATCAATAAGTGAGCTTGATGTAATCTTCCCCTATTATAAAGATTATTGGTGATTCAAGAAAGTGACTATCGAATGTGTGTCACATCCTTGTGGTCACCCTACTTGAAAGAGTTCTTGATACCTGCAATATAATAATTGAATGATGCTACACAGCACCTTTAAACATGACATAATTCGCTATGGAATTGTTGTGAATTTTATGCACACAGTTTTTGTCACAACCTTCTCATATGGACTTACTTGGTATATCTTGTTTTTGTTACCAGAGATTTACTGGATATTTGGATCCTCTCTCACATGTGAATGATTTGTGATAAACATCCTTGCACGTTTATCTACTTTTAAACCATAATTATTTGATCGGAAAAAGCGATATACGTTTTGAGCCATTATCAAATTTTCGAGTCAAGTTGAGCTCGTTAAACTCAAATAAAAGTATTGTCATAACTTACACATCTCGTCGTGTGCTGATTTCACGTCATCTTCATTAACAACTAGATAATTGATAAACGTAGACTTGTTAAGACTTTTCGAATGTGAATAAGATTTATTTGCTTGTTTTCTGCATATCGATAATTAGTAGTAAATCTCATTTGACACTCGTCATCCGGTAGTTTAAATAGTCAACCGATTTTGTTCGAGCAACCATTGTAGACCACTGAGCACAACACAGAGGATTTGTTCTAGTAAGAGACTACTCAGAAGTGCACGCTTTTGACTCCAACACGGATCCCACACGCGAATGTCACGTCGCTTATTGAGCTTATCGAACATTCAACACTATCCAGTCTCAAATTGACTGATAAATTAATATTCGTCTTCAATAATAACGTGTGAGAGAAAGCAGATTGTGTACATGTGCCATGTATAATTTTACGTCTTAAATCAACTCAGCCTTAATTACAGACAGAATAAAAAGGAAATGAAATCCAACTTACTTTGACTGTTACTGCTCATGCAGTTACCTTCGTAGTATTGCTCTAGAAAATACAATAATTTATGCTCATCAGTTTCATCGTATTTTGAACACCGTCATTGAATTTGAAGTCTTATGCTTACCGAGACTATCCGTTATTGAGCAGAGTTGTTCGATATCGTATTCTGAAAAATTGTAGGCGAATAGTTATTAGAGTTTTAATCGTAGAATAGGTGCATTACGTATGTTTTATTCAGATTGTTTTACTGCGATGAATATCGTCCCAGTCATTATGCAATCAGTTATTAGTAAAATGTAAAACCATATCATTGAGACATTCTCTCGACATTGGCTTACCGGAAGAAATGTCCATTTTATCACGTGGATCATTGTACTCTACAAAATTTGAAATAAAGACCTTTACTGCGTGCTCATGTACATTGGATGTCATCTTCGAAAGCTTATCATGGTATGGTGCATAAAATTCATCAATATAACAACATGTGCTGTCAACTCAGTGTTATACATTGACTTGTCGAGAAATTCTCTATTCTCATTTGAAGCCTGTAATGCGTACTATTTGCCTATATATGACTAATAACGTACGTATCTGTGCACAAGGCACATTTAGAAAAAGGCCTTATCAACGAACGTCGTTGTTTTCTTATGCATGCTCTGAATCATTCTCACTATTGACAAAAAGCGATAAATCTTGAATAACCATTCAAATAATTTATCAGTGTAATGCACTGGTCGTTGCAAGCCATCTTTCATCATTCCGACTATCTTATTCGATAAACAACGGAATACGCAATGTTCTCATACAAAAACCAATGCATATCTGGTTTTGATAGGATTGACTGGTTATATGAGCATTGTCAGACTCAGGACAAATTATATAGGTTATCGGGTACTGTGTCTTCAACTGTCACCTACTCAAACTAATAACAACGTGAGAGAGATTAGTGTTCAATCACTGGTAGCGATCAATTACGTTTCACACATGTGACTAAATGGTCACAGACATATTGACCAAACCACGTTTATTTTCAAAATAGTTTGTGAAAACGTTCCTGTGTCAACGAATCAGTATTTCCAAGAATCAGAATTTATTCATTTTAACAAACCAACACACTGAATTCAGCTTACTGATTTCGTTACTTTCTCTGTTTCCTTCATCGTATTCATCATCTGAAAAGATCATTGGTAAAATGTACTAGATCAGTCACAGCCGGAAGACTTCTGCATATCTTGTAGAATTTCGTTTCAGTTGATTGAGTGGACTTATACATCATATCGTTCGATATGTAATTGTACTCAGAATATATTCCAACAGTAAATTTTCGTTGTTCATGACATGAGTATCAAATTATGCTTATTCAATTTGTACAAATATGCTTCAATAGATATTCTCATATCTACCTATTATCATATATTCGTTTCTATTAGAGTTATTTGGAAGAAATCAGGAAATGAGTAACTGTGAAATCTTCATACACGCCTTACATTCGCTCAACTTTCAATACAGAATGAATAGAATAAACATAAAATCCTACTCAGGTTGATCAGAGTTGGTCGACACTACATTGAAGATAGTTGTAGCGGACTGAAAATTACAGTGAGAAAACTTGCCACATTTGAAAAATTATCAATGGTGTCATTCATCGAAGAGAATAGTACTTACCGAAGTCGTTTATTCCTTCCTTTGCGTCACGTTCATCAACAGCTAAATCATTTGCAGGAAAAAGATTGTTCAAATGTGGTTACAATGTAAATGCCGTTGATTCTCATAATTGTTAAAAACTGATATTTTGTTGTGAATTTCATCAGAAACCAATCGTTGAAATAGAACGCATTCATCCTCATTCTGATTAGCAAGTTTAATGGCAATGATAGACGTGAAGACTACATTCGTTCGACTGATGTAATTACATAATGTGGAACAAACATTCAAATGCTTTGTACAAATGTAGACGTTTCATACTACATATCTACATTGGTTATTCAAATGTCTACCTCAATGGAAATGAGTTTGTCGAATTTATATTCTGATTTACAAAAGTAAACATTCGTCAGTATTTCTAAGCTGTACATTACTGGAGAAATGCCTGTTTTTCTTTTCGTCTGGAATCGTGATGGTGGAAATTAACTAACGTTAGTTTTATCATGCTATACACATTCAATAGATCAGAATATTGAAACAACTCACAAACTTGAACTTACGTCTGTCAAGATCACCTGTACGATAAGCGTGAATGCCTAAAATATAAATGAAACGATATCTTCTCAGATCATCACAATGAAACTTTAGGTAATCAGTTCCCTCGATAACATGTCATAAATTAAGATTAACTAACTCAGTAACATGAAATCAATTCATTTCACCTCGTATGTTGTAAATCACTCATTTACACACCGATTTGTCCAAATAATAAAAACACATAAGTTGTAGGTATTTTTATGTCGTGCGTGAGTGTCTTTTGGCTCACTAGTGGAAACTTAAGTTAACAATAACAATGATGATCATAATGATAAAATGGCTGAAAATGGTATTATGAATGTGTAAAGTAATACGAATTGGTACTCTCCACCACGGGAACAAACGACGTTTGGATGTTGCAATGTGTGTGCAATTGTAATAAATTAGATTTATTTGTACAAATCAGAAAGTGCAAAATTGAACTAGATTACACGAAGCAACACAGGTCTACTTCATCCAACAATGTTTTTCAACGTCATATGTTGAAAACTAAAAATTAATCCGTCAATAGACGAATTGAATGTGTTTCATTCAGTGCAACTTCGTTGTCGACTATAATAATTGAGCCCACGTATACAACCATATTTGTAATGAAGTTTTACATGGACAAATCTTTAATAAAACAGATGGATATTATGCCACTTTGTAAGATTTCCACAAGTCTGTTTAACGCATTGGAGTATTAAAAATAAGTTGTACATTGATTTCGAATGTAATAGGTAGTCATCATTTATGAAAAGAAAATGTAGAGGAAGACTAATGTGCAATAGAACTAAATGAATCGTTAGCTAGTAAATTATGTTATATTTGATAAAGTTGAGGCGGTCAAACCCAAACATGGAATCAGTCCTTGAAGAGACTAACTTCCAGATTGAGCGGTGTTGGTAGACGCAGACTCCTGTGTTGAGGTCCACGAAATGATCGCAACCAATGCTTCGAGACTCTAAGTGACATGAGTTAAAATAGATTACAATAGCGTAGATGTGTACACACTTTATCTTCCCTTAAACCATGAGATTACAATTGCTTTACGCCTTTCTTTCTACGAACTAATTTTTTTCTGTATTATATCCTTATGCGAAATCTTAGTTTTATGTATTACCAACATTGAAGTGAATTACTATGAATCTGATGTTCATATTGTTGTGCTAACAAGGTCTGACAACTTGGACCGATGCTGAGTGACTGACGAAAAATTTAAATAGTTACTAAAATCTTGATAAACATGAGATAACATATATCGCTTTCAAGCAAAGAATTAGAATCAACAAGAGCCTTTCGATGAATATACACCTCTTTCAAAATATTTATTTTATCCATTATTATTTTGCTACTTATATTTATTGATCGTTTGTTAGGCTTACTGAAGGGTGTTATACGCTTCATTTGTTTTATGGACTACTGTCTGTGAATATTTCAACTACAAATACAGTAATACTTCGTTAATATGAAACGTCTCTCCACTGAACTATAATAGTCAAAGTTAAATTCATTCGGCTATTAACAGCCGATTGAGGTAGACTGACAATTCTGCACACAGTTTATATTTGTGAACACGAGTACAATTTCTTCATTCTCGTGTTCCCAAATACGAACGGTAAGCGATAATGTTATGATATTCCAATATACCATGTCTTAAGACAACTGCATGTGACATCGTTTAAACCAAAACAATTTCTACGGTATTTGAGAGCTTCCAGTTTTATCGAAACCCAGTCTTCCGTATTTTGTATTCTTACGTTTAAACGTCCTATGATTTCTTGTTGAAATTTCAACGATACATTGAAAGTTTTCCTCATTTGTTAAATTCGTGCATATCTTTCGTATGTCCCCACTATGTGAGAATAGATTCATAACGCTTGTTTGCTGACCACATATACCAACACATAACTTTTGTGAGTTGGTTGGAGATTAGGTGATAGATAATCTTACATCACCTGAGTTTCACAAAGTTAGCACTGGTTTGACAGAAGTAAATGTAGTCTAGAGAGAACTATTGATCAATGGTGAATTCGACCCAGCACTACACTACATCAATAGTTAATCACTTACTTGTATTTGAAAAAAAATATTTAACCATGAAACTAAATACATTAACAAACAACACTTACCGGTAATACTGGCAGTAAGCACAATGGCTAAAAGCAAATGTAAAAGATTCGCATTCATTTTACTCGGTCTGTGTCGTTCTGTAACATTGAAATTCTGTGTGTGTATATATACCTTTTACTCTGGCTAAATGGAATGTAAAATTCACTTAATCAGAAAACGATTCGTTGAATACTTCTGAATGTGTGTGTATATGGTGTGTTTGTATGTGTCTCTGTTCCAATAAGAATACATCCAGGTGTAAATGAAGATAACTTTTAATTGATTACAGAAAATATTTCTTCTAACACATCAAAACTCATAGTTGAATTACATACCAGTATTACATGCCAATTGCATGCCAAATATAATTTTTACCAACGACGTATTTTGAATTTAACTTGTACTGAGAACGGTTTTGACATCATATTATATTAGATTTTGATTCCTACTAGTAATAATTTGGATGAATGTGGATGATCCAGTTCCTCTTCTTTGATTAGCACTAACAGAGTACAAGCTGCGGATTACGTGTTGTTATTTATCCATATCCGACAAGTTTAGGCGAATAATAATTTGAGCGAGATATTTTTAATCATAGTCTGATATCAACTGAATGAATGAAACGATTAAAGCCTTTTATTTTCAACCAGATAGGAATTTTTATGTGACAGGGTCATCCTAGTTTAGTCATCTTATGGATAGTCAACGCACAGTATTCATTACTTCATCACTGATAAGTGTCGGTTTACACTGATAATTCAGTGTAACTTATTTAAATGTAAAATAATCTTTGTAAAACGAGTGTGTTTCTTTTAAAAAATAAGGTTGAACTTCATTTTTATACTGATAAGACCGGTTATTGTGAGAACCACAAGAAAAAGGTTTCCACAAAGAAACTCCCTGTACCCAGTAATGAATATAACATCGATTAAGATATCAATCATGTTAAAATAAAAATAGTTTAATGATGCCCAACAATTTGTTATAATGATTACTCTAATAAACGTCCGTATCAAAGGGCTTACATTTTTGACTATACTAACATTGAGCACATATGAACCAACAATCAACAGAATTTTGGAAATCCAAGTTAGGCGATTACTATATCTCAAATGTAAATCACTGAGTCAATATATCAAAGTCTGGAATATGTAATAATGTAATTATTTCTTCAGAAATCGTATCTAAATAAGCATCTTAATCAATTCCGCTTAAGACAAATACTGCTTATAAAGTTCTTCATTCTTCAATTTTGCCTTAACATTGTACAATTTCATCATTGTACATCAATACAATGTATATAATTTCAGATTTCAGTCTAAGCAAAACACAAATGCAATTAACTCATCTAGTAAACAAATGTTATTAACGATCTATAAGGACGATGAAATAAGATCATGGCAATCTGAACTTATAAAGTGGGTGGGAATTACACTACAGTTTGATGCAAATGTGCCTATCTGTGGGTTTATAATTTGTTATCGAAACTCGAATCCACAAATTTCAATTCAAACCATCATAAATAGATAAAACTTTGATTTCCAGGTTCAATGTCGATCACAATGCAATTTTCCGGCAAGCACATGTGTGCAAAAGTACATAAAGAGTCAATTAGAATGATGATCAAAGCAGATCGAGAATATGAGCAACGAGTTGATACAAGTGCTATCTGGCAATTTCTAGTTATCTATTTTCCTGAAAATGTTTCTCAACACTGCTTTTTCTAAGTAAATTGCATGAGTCACACTGAAATCAATTGTGTAGGCTGCACATTACGAACTCACTGATGAAAACATCAGCATTCTGAATTAGTAGTTATAATTACTCTGTTTTCCGTTGAGTGTTGATCATTTCATATTTGATGACTTTGTTTGATTCCTGGTCATCAGATTAGAGTATATACCACTAGCACTATCGGTACAGTACCATCTGAGAAGTTCAAATCTGAGGGTCAGTAATGCTTTTGTCCTCGTGCAATCTCCACCCCGTTCTGCAAACACGTAGTGAGGTCTTTGTAATAAGGCGTTCTCCTCGTCCCTGTTTATTGGGTTCTCGGTTCTGATCCGCATGTAAATTTTTAATCGAATAGTCTGATCATCTTGGTGTTTCCACCAGATATAATCACAATAAATTGAGTCCTGAATAGTCTGTAAGGTATAATGTTTTGTTCGTAGTTGTATTCCCCTCGGAAACAGTGCAAGATGCTTCCACAATCAATGTTCAACTTTCTAACACAAGCTCTGTGTGCTAGTCAAGTTGTTGTGCAAACTAGAGGTCTCTAAATATTCTTCTTAGTTTTTGAGCTGATAAGAGCTATGACAATCTCTGTATCGAGTTGAAGACAAATACTTCTTACGAAGTTGTTCATTGTTTAA